CCTCCTTCTGGGAGGGCGATGACCACCAACTAACTCACCTTTTGAGCTGACAAGGTGACGACGCCTTTCCTACGCGCCGTTCCGCGCAAACTGCCACGCTGGCTGATGCGCCACGTGCTGTTTGCCCGCTTTGGTGGCAGCACTCCTGCTCACTGCCACCCCCCGGCTGCTCTTCGTAGGTGTGGGGATGGCTGCAGATTCTCCGGCAATGCCCAGGCCTCGTCAGCTTCTCTCAGAGGAGCTGTTGGCTCCTGGCACGTCTCTCCGCTGCCCTGGCATTTCCCTGCCTCAGGAAACCAAGATCTGCTGCTCCGCTACGGGCTGGTCCAACTCCAGAGCAGCTCCTCTCGGCGACTTACTACTAGCTTCAGTTACACTGCGTTTAAATCTTTTGTTCTAAGAGAAGGTTAAAAAGCAAGGGAAATTTGGAATCTTTTTCATAAAATATTTTGTAAAATTATTAGTTCGCTTTTTCATATTTTTTTATTCCGGTCAGTAGTAACAAATAAAAGTATGCTGTTGTTAAGCAAACTGAAGCATTAAGTGTGAGAATTCTTGGAGACCTTTCTAATTCCAAGAGAAAGTAAGGCAGGTATGACTTGATCCTCAAATCAATTACTGATTTGCTTCTGGCTGTCCAGGATCACGCAAACCAACCTGACTCCTTGACAGTTGAACTTACTAAGAACAATACATAAACTAGGCAAACTTTGACACCACTATTAACCTTTTTTTAAATCCTGCTGCAAGTTTGCAGGCTCAGAATTGTATAACTCAGAATCCAGGTGCCTCAGGTAATGTCATACCTGAGCTTTGCATTCTGTCATGGTTAACATCTGAAGACACCTCAAGTGGGAAGTAAAACTACCTTGTTTTGATTTCTGGTTCCAGTTTCTGAGATGCCTGGGAAGTTATGCTGGGACATAATGCAGAACTGAACCCAAACTCTGAACTCAGAATTGTAGGGTGGGGGGGAGTTGGGGGTGTTGCTGGGCTTTGTTTCTCTGTGCTCAGCACTGGGGAAGCTGCTGGTGAGAGTGAGGTGCTGTTACAGCCTCCTAGGGAGTGAGATATGGCACCAGGGATCAAGGATGCAGTTGAAAAGTGTAGGACAAAGGAACTGAATGAAAGAGTGGCGATCATCAACCTAACTTTTAAAAGATCTCACAAGTGATGCAAACACAGCACAAAGTCAGCTATGGCAGGTCAACAGGTGAATGGTCAATGAAGTTAAAATGATACGGATTGCTTTTGATCAAGAATTCAAACCTTCAGTCTTACAGTTAGATGTGCTTAGAGGAAGTACCTTACTAGTACAGTTTTGATTTTGCAAATACATGCTCAGAGAAAATACAGAAATATCAGTAATCCCATTGAGTAAGATGTTATATGTCATTTGGGGCAGGTCACCTTCTGGGTTTAAGCTGTGTATTTGCACTGTTGTGTGCTATACAACTGAAATCTAATGAGAGAGACATATAAAGATTATACCTTTGTGTGCATCTTTCGCATCAAAGTAACAAGATTGCTCGTGATTTGACCCCTAGCTGGGTTTTTTTGTTGTTTAACTTTGTTATTAGTAGCCAAGTTCTAGTAATTTTGTTTCTTGTGGCAATATTTTATGATCAAAGCATAGTCTAAATTAGCACCTTATCAAGTAAAAGTATGTACATATCCTTTTATACTGCTGTAATCTGATAACCGGTGAATCTTATGAGTGGTGAATTTTGAAAAAAAAAAAAAAAAAAAAGCAGACAAACTTGGGTTCAGTAAAAAGCAAAAAGCATTATTCCAGCTTTACATTATGTACTTCAGAATACATTAGTTTTAGTTGATCCCAGGAAGCAGAATCTTTCAATTTATTCCCTTTAGCATCCTGAAATCTCTCAAAACTGGAGATAACCATGTATAGTACACAGCTTTGGGGCAAGGAACGTGCCTTCTGCTGTCACAATCTGATTGACCAGCAGAAACTCTGTGAGTTGAAAATTGCAATTAGATAGGAAGGGAAGAAGGAACTCATTTTCATGTAATTACCTTAGCTTTTCTTCTGGGTGTTTCCTGCTAAGCTCAGTAAAGGAAGAATGTCTGCAAAAGGAGTTGGAGTAGTTGCAGATTGGTTTAATTAAAAACCTGAAATACTTAGCAAGATCCATCAGCAAGATCCAGTCTGAGCCAGCTACAGGGTTAACAAAAACTGGTCTTTGATCAGAATAGTTTTTACATAGAAATCAAGTGAAATTGTACAGAATACTGTCAAATAATTATTTAAGGTAATATCTGACCTAAATAGATGGTCCATAGTGACAACTTCACTACAGTTAGGAGTTATACAGCCTAACATTTAATACCTAGTCTACGTTTACATCATTTGTGTGTTGGAAAGTGTAAGGCAGCATGTAGAGTGGTAAGAAAGAGGAAGGTACGCAATGGCTGACTGTGAAAGTCTCCGTGCCGTTTCTCTGCACGTGGTGGTTGTTGGTTATCTGCCTTCACGTTGCCCAGTTCTGGAGTTTCCGACGGGATGGGGTGTCTCTCTCTTTGCTCTTCTTCATACGCTCCACAGCGGACCTTCCTCCTCACTGCTCTCCTCGGAGCTGGAAATCCCGGTGCCTATTTCTGTGCCGACTGAAGGCCTTTCATAAGGGTCTCTCTGACATAAGACTTTCTCCTCTTGGCACTCTTGCCTGTGTGGAAACTTCAGGCTTTCGTTGAAGAAGGCAGAAGCCATGCACTCGGCTGCTGTCTTATCGCAAGCACATAGTAGTTTCTCACACATGCTCCAACCAATACCTTAAAAAGAAGTTTCAGAATTAATGTTTGAAAGCAATTACAGTTAGTCAATGTGTAATTTGCCATGGGTAGATAAGCTTTTGAAAATAAAATTTTCAAATCTGCCTTGAATTTTAGTCTCGAAATTCACCTTTAATCACCTAAATATAAGCCTGACACCAAGGTGCTGGGCAGATGAAGCCTGACTGGCTTTACTTGAATTTGTGAATGTAAAGACACCAACAACTGACTTCTATGTCCAGCCATAAAATATCTGAAGGTAATTTTCGCAGCCTGACTGGTCACATGATACACAGTGGTGTAATAACCTTTTTCTCAACTCGGAAAAAGCTCAGGTTGATAGCAAACATTGCGAACATTTTGTAAGCCAAATTTTTCTGTCTCCATTCTCAGCTCTAGCAGCTCACAGACATGGTGGCATTCAGTCTGTAATGCTTTGATACACTGTCAGCAGGACTTGAGAAATTTCCTCGAACACAAACTTACATTTTGGCTTATGATCAAAACATAGAACCTCGGATCTTGAACTTCTTTCCACATGACATCCAAGTTTCTTAACTTGTTCCATACAACAGTGATGAGAAAAGCAGCACCTAAAATAAACATTAGGTGTAAATGAAAAATACTTACTCTTTGTGCATCACAGAGTACTTGCAATTATTTTATCTCTTTATTTTCAATGCCCATTAAAACTGAGAAATTTTAGTTTTCATATCATGGAAAAAGCTTTTCATAAAGAAGAGTAAAAACAACCCAAACTGTTCCTACTCTCCTTTAATACCTCTTCCTACTTTCACTACCTCCCTCCTTCCTAATTCCTTTGGTATCATATGTTTAACAGTGCTGTAGGTTTTTAGGGGGGTTTGTTTTAACACATATAATTACAGTTGTAACTGTGACCTAATCCACTGTGAGAAGTGTCTTTAAGTGTTCAGATATTGTTGGCTGAAAATCTGAAAACTGCATCATGATAGCGAGAGCCTTGACTAGCCTTCATCTAGACTATCATGCATATGCGGTCTTCTTTGTGCACGAGCGTAGGAAATACGTGTGTGCTGTACAGTACGTGCTATACTTAGACCTGATGTGGCCCCGATTATGAACTTCCACACAGGGAGAGATTTTTACTTGTAAATGCAACACTCTCAGAGGAGATTTCTTTACTCTGGTTGAATTCTCTGCATTACTCCAGAATCCCTCCTCTTTGTCAGCCATGCCATGATAGCACACGCTCAGCTGTGGCAGGTCTCTTAGCTGCAGCTCAGGCAGTACTTCACTCAAGCTCTTCTCTCTTCTGAAGGACAGTGCGGCACATGTGTATGTTAACTCTTCATAAATCACTTTCCAAACCAATTCTTAGCCAAGTTTCATGGCAACCCTTATCCTCATCTCTTTTGATATACTCTTCCTTCTGCTCTATTTACCTCCCATTGTTCTCCTTTCTTAAGTTAGTAAGTCCTCTCCAAAACATTGATGCAATAATAGAATGTGTCTTAGTGACACTAGAGTATTTCATGGTTTATGTATTTAAGTGGATTTTTTTTTTTTTTCAAAATGTGGCCTGACTACTGATATGTAGCTATACAAGGTCCAACAAAAGGTATACTCATCTTTCTTGGTCCATAGGCACCCCAATAATACCCACAGTTGATGGCAGATTCTAGAAAAGCCCACACCTGTCCAGTGCATCAGTAGGATAACCTCTTCCTTCTTGGCCACAGTAGCAACCGTAAGACTCAAATTCCTCTGGGCATCGCTCAGTTAAACAGAACAGCATTTCTCCTAGCTGCGGCAGCTCCCTCTTCACTCTTCCATTTTCTCTCTCTTGCAGAAAGGTTAATCGTTCACACACTATAAAGCAAAAAATGTTATCTGACACATCATGTTTTCACTCGTTGGGGGCTCTCTTGTGGTGATAGAAACATTTTTAGAGTGATCAGAAACTTTTAAAGACAACATTTTACTATTTCTAAATTATTGCTCCAGTCCATGAACTATGGCTCTTAGAATACTACTGAGCAAGACAGCAGAAGTGGGGGGGAAATACTTAAAGGGGAGAGAGAACCCTAAGAAGATATAAATTACAAGTCAAATTGAATTGCAGTGAGAGTACTTTGCAATCCTTGGTAATCCTTCATAGTTAATTTTTTCTCCTAAAATATTCAAACCTAGCTGAGTATTCAGTAGCTACTGTCTTGGCTAATTCAGAAAATAGAGTCCTATCCTCTTGTGCTTGCACAGTGATAGCTGGGCAATGACTATGGGGTTTTTTTCATTTGAAATATAGTTCAATTTGAGCTATGATGCCCCTAGCCCAAATGCAGCAGTGATCTGTTGTAATGGTTACTGTGCTGCCGAGGTTTTGGCATCTCCATGTCCCTCTGTGACTTTCCCGACTCAGGAAGAACAGATACTGTGGGAATTATCCCTAAGATTTGAGAGCAGACTGTGTTCCATAGCAAGAAAAAAGATGTCGAGAGGGTCTCTTTTTGGACTTTGCCAGGGAAAGGACTTGAAGGGGCTGATGGTTGGATTGTGGGAGAGAGGAGGGACTTCTGTTCCCTGGGCATCCTTCTTGCTCCCATGAGTAACCCCATCTTGCCTTCTGCAGCTCTAGACTGACTCTCCCTGCTTCTTCCAGGGACAACCCTGGATTACTTCCCCCAGTAGGAAACCCTACACGTGTGCCTGCTTGGGTCTTTGCTCACTCATGTTAATTCACTAAGAACGAACCCCAGGTTCATGCCCTGATGTGCGCTCCCTAAAAGCTGATATTTTATGATCAAATTTTCCAATTTGATGGAAGGCTGGGTTGATTCTTCATGTCTGCTCTTTTCCAGTTCTGGGACTGCTTCTCTCCATTGGGAAGCCTAACAAGGTGGATGGGACAGTCCATGAGTGTGAATTTACAGTAGCGACAGGTCTGAAATGTCTTGGGATCTCTGTGAAGTCTGAGCAGGAGTTGGAACAGAATCAGAAATGGTGAGAAAAAGCCCAACTCCGTCAAGACTTTGGCAAGAGGTTGGAGTGATGAGCAGGGGAAGTTCCTTTTATTGCTTCTGCTGCTTGTAAAATAAAGTAACTCAAAGACATGATTAAATTACTGCCTACAAACAAAAGCAAGGGGAAACATTCACTGAGCAAATTTTAGATCTTGTACTGTATGAAAAAGGTGCTTATAACCTAATCACAAATAGGTTTTTTGTAAATGTTAATGATAGCACATTGGTGGAAGAGGTTAAACTGTTGGAAGCTTTTGCAGATGACTGCATCTCCTGTTCTTATGAATACCAATACATATATGCTTGTCTAACTGGTTTATAATCTTTGCATGTAATATACACCTACCTTTTAATATAGGGGTAGCTGAATATTTAATTAGCTATAACTGGGAAAAAAAAAAACCCTTAATTTACCTTTTCCAGCAGGTTCATTGGGTCCTGTGTCAGACAGTACCAGTTCCAGAGCTATTCCAGAGGAAGCTGTGCTCTGGCCACCCCTTGCAGGGCTTGTCTCTGGAGATGACATATGCATAGATTAGACTTGCGAAGGTAGAATAAACTCTTTTTTCAGTAATGTACATATTCTGAACCATAGTCAGTTGGCAGTCCTCTAACATTTGTTTAATTCATAGTTGGAAGACTGTTCATTAATGGTTAGTTAAGCTTTCCTGGTCAGTGAACTGCCCTTTCCAGTGCAATCAGGGTTGTGCACTCTGTATCCCAGATTTAGGGAGAAAGTAGCGTTATTCTACATATCCATGAGAAACGCTGAATCCTCAGATAGCTGTGAAGAGGAATAGGGGAGTGCTGTAAATTAGAATAGCTGTAATTCATTTTTTACTTGCCTTTTTCTTTTGTCCTTGTAGATGTTCCTGCAGGAATCTTCTCAGTGGGGACAATTTTGACTTGCATTGAGTTAATATCTCCTGGGAATGAGGCTGAGGAGGTGGTTATCTCTTCCACTGGGACCACAGCTTCCCTAAATCCATCCTCTTCTGAATAAGCAGAAAGAGGAAAGCAGAAGAAGACATAGAAAATAAACAGCAAGATTTTCATTTTAGATAGCCGGTCAGAGTAATATCCTCAGGCAGAACTGGTGTGAACTGATGGTCATAGAGAAAAAACATTCAAGATGAAAGTTGGAAAAGCAAAGAGTATTCACACTGGTCATTTCTTCACATCTCCTGCCTTTCAGAAGAAAAGTTACTGGTTAAATATGACCAATTTAACTGCTGATTATTTTTAAAAATTTTATATGTTGCATACTGAGGTAAAGAGTTGTGCCAGTTGCTGAAAATAATATGGGTTGCTGGTTAGTAAGCCATACTGAGGGATGAAGTGGAGGTGAGATGTCATGAGATGTCATTTTCTGAGTAAATTGCTTAAAAAAAGGTGTCAGTTCACATGAGGGTACCAAAACAGAGAGCAACATTAGTGAAGGCAGAAAATTATTTGGCTGATGTAGAGCTGGGCAACTGAAGGATTTACTGTGTTGTAACCACAAGGAAATATCAAGGGGAAAGTAAGTTGAGGTTGAATAGAAACATAATTTGAAGGAGATTCTTTATCCTAAAAATTAAATTGGTATTTATTTTTAGATTATCTGAAGCTTTATTACTGAGCAGGAATGTTTTGTTTAATTTGGAGATTTCTTAACATCTTTTTTCTTTCTTGTTTAACCTTTTTTATATATGTTAACTTGTAAATGAAAACACTGTTATCAAACGGAGATCAAAGGGTTCCATTTTCTCTAAATGTCAATATGAAGAATGTGGCATTTCACAAAAAAATACTTTGAAAATACCAGTGAACGTGTGTTTCCATTTTTTAAAGCCTTTCCTTTTGAATACCTTGGCTGAACTTATTAATTGGATTAAACTCGAATTCATTAAATTTGTGCCTCTGATGTTCTGGGTTTAGTATGTGTTGAAAATAGCCTGTCATAGGATAAGAGAATAGATTAAAAAAATGAAAGTACTGCTAAGAACACAATGAAGCCCATGAAAGGTTGCAGAAAGGGATCAATAGGAACACTCTAGTTTTAATAGCTCAGCAAGCTGCATATTTTATGCCACTTTGTTTGACAGTGATTTGTTGAAATGAAAGCGATTCCTACTAGATGTAGAAAATAAAACTGGGGTTTGGGAAATTCTGCACTTAGGTGAGAATAGATGTTACAAATAATCTTCCAGGAGCCATGCAGATCTGCAACACAACACACAGATTTTCTGATACAGACAAGTTAATGGAGGAGAACATTCAGTGATTTTGACCAGTTCTTAGTACCGCAATGCCAAATTTCTGTATTGGGGTGGGAGACATGGATACTGCTCAGACATTGTAATCAGAGTCAAAAGATGACTACTTTCTACTCTCCATATTCAGTGTTCCTTGACATTTTTCTGGTGCATTTCAGTCTGCCTGAATGATCCTTTCTACAAAAAAGGGGCCACTGAAAACTTCCAAGTCTACCAAGGTGCTCCACTTATAGCTGTAGCTACTGGTGTAGTTGTGTTCAAAGCAGTAACAACTGCAAAAGCTGAATTCTTTCCACGGGGAAAGAATGCCATGAAATTCTATGTAATAAAGGAGGAAGCAAAATCAAAATGAACCCTTCTGGCAGCCGATGCTATGAAAGTAATTTAAAGGACCAACCATTATATCAGAAAACCTTATGTGAAGAGGTTTTCATAAATACATGGATGAGGAGTGCAAATGAGTGGCTGGAGGCAACAAACAGCTAATACTTCTCAGCCGGGTTTTATTGTTTATCTGCTATCTGCCCCTGATCTAAATTTGATTCTCCGTCAGCCCTGTCATCACCACGCATGGATCTTTAGCTGTGATGCTTTTAGGTAAAGTATTGCTGTGTCAGTCAAAGAAAAAGGAAAGCTGAGAGTCACTGACTTTTTATCGAGAGGACGGGGGGAGCAGGAGCTGTACCTCTGTGGTCCCTTGTGGTAACTGTACAAAAACCAGAGGCATCATGGTAGTGACCTACCTGCTGTATTTCTGCAGTGCATTTCTGAGTGACTTTTACTTGAAAACATCATAAACCTTAACCAAACATCACTATTAGCCTGGTTTTATGAAGAGGGTAATTAGGAGAAATAAAAGGTCTGCTGAAGGATGTGCAAGTCAGCAGAAGAACTAGAGGTATTATCCAGAAATCCTGTGCTGCAGATTTTTGACTGTGACACCACAGAGCTTCATAAACTAAAATCCATTTTCACCTGGAGTCAAGAGTGCCTGATTCATCAACAAAAGTGTAATCAGACTCTTACCTCTGGCTTTGGAAGTCCCCAGGACCATCTTACTGGGCTCAAAAAAAATCACTGTTGAAGACAGACAATGTAAACTCAGAAAACAAGTTGCCAGCACAGACTTTTATGAAGAGTCAAGCTGCTGAGAACTGCTTTTACAGCAAAGCAGGAAGACACAGGCATTTCATGTACATTTACCTGTTTTTCTCAGCGGTGCATTCATTGTTGTAGACAAAGTGATACTGATAAAATAATCTCTTTGCTGCATTCAAATAACGTGCTTTACACTGACAAAGAAGCAGCATAAATATGACTGAAGTGGCAGATTCAATTTTAAATCCATTTGACAGACAAATACACTAAAAGGGGGTTAGGTCTAAAAATCTCACTGTTGCACACAGAAGGACGCCACATTTCTCATGAACACCTTGTGTTTGCCTGCATTGAAAGTCAAGTATGGATGGGCAGCCAAATAGAAGACCAAATACTTCCCTAACCTCTAACTTATTTCTTTACCTGATAAAATGATTTCCATTTGTCAGTTACCTTTTGATAAATTATAAACATAACTATCAAATGACCCCAAAAAATCATCTCTGCATCTTTTTTTTGTGTTGTTAGGATGTTGAAGAAGAATGTCTTTGCCTTTAAATGAGTTTCTGAGTAGTACTTAGCTTTGGTTTAATGTAGTTCCCACAGCTGTCGATGGTGAAACTCCTTTGGGCTTAAATGGGGAGACTAGTTAAATGGTAAGTGGTTCTCCAAATGTTTCCTTCAAAGTCTGATTGGATATGTTATCTGTGATAGGTTTTCAGCTTTCTAAAATTCCTAATACAGGTTTTTATCCCTTGGCAATATTTTGAGCCTTAACAATGAACTATGCCTCTTTAGAGAGCACAAGTAATTGTTTTTTCAGGGAGTAAAAGATTGCTACAGATGTGCAAATACAGGTGCACTCACTCCTTCAGGAGTTCGCAGTTTTCTATTACCTTCTATTACCTAAGCCTCCCAGAAGAGCAAGAAAAACATGACCTAATACTGGAGCTATTGTTAGGCAAGAACAAGAAATATCTGGTAAAAAAAATGACCTTGATAATACAGGAAGGGTATGAAGAAACAGCCAGCACTTACACACAGCATAAAGCCTTTTCAGGTAGGTACCCTTGCACATGTGGCACTTTTTGAAAAATAAAAAAACTGTTAAAGTCTGAAGTGTTGTCTCTTAAAAAAAAAAAAAAGTGGGGGGAGGGGAGAAGAAGAAAAGAAGAAAAAATAAAAGAAAAAAATTCCATATGGTTTTTCATTATTCCAGATTCACACTTTGGACAACGGCTCCCTTTGAGAAACACAGAGCACACTACAGCTTGAAACCGGGTTCTTAAGTTCTCAAAAAGTGCAACTTTCCACCTTTCCCAGCTCCCACAAATTAACTCCTGAGTTTCTCTGAGTTAAGCAGCGGCTCGGTCGCACCCACCCAGCGCACATTGCTCGCGTGCTTGGCAGATACGGGGTCTCTGTACGTGACAGTATGGCTTTGGTTGTGATGGGGCCACATTACAAGAGTGCATCAGCTAAATTGGACAACGGCTGGTCCAAGATCAGTCTCCTTCTCTGTTTCACTACTATATGACTCGGCCCTCTCTTAGCAGATGTGCCCTCCCAGAGCCACTGCTTTCTGTTCTGATTTTTGGATGATTTCTCTCCCTGGCTTCTTGTATTGTAGTGCACCCCATGCAGGTAGGAAGAGAACAGCAATGAGATTTTTCAAGCATCCATTCCTGAATAAGGTAGCTATTGGTTGTAGCAGAAAAAAAATGAAGACTGTCAGAAGAACCACTTGGTCTTGTGGTTTAGAAGCTCACCCAAGAGGCACCAGAGTGAGGAGGTCTTAAACCTGGATCTCTATGTTGCAAGTAAATAACCCACCAAACTGCTGGCTCGTTTGCAACAAACCATGCTCAACTCTTCCTCATGCCACTGCTTGATCTTGTATAATTAAATGTCTGTTTAAAGACAACAAACATGCAATTGGCTGTGGGTCCAGTTCTTGGCACCCACACAGCACATCTCTGCCAAACAGCTCACCTGCTGCAACCTGTGCTCCCAGGAAAAAAAAAGGTCTGTTTGGATAAGAACAGGTTGTTGTCATAGGGTGCTCATTCTCAGCCCTTGGGAAACTTCCTGTGAGCACTGGTTAAGCATATCACGTGCACAAATTGAAAAATCGCACCTTCTCATACAGCCTTGAATTCGATCACCCAAACTTTATATCTACTTTTATAACAGTCCTTTTAGAAGGGCAGAAAGAAAGCAAACAGCTTATTCTTGTATTTTATTCTTTCAGCTTTTAGGAGCTGAAAACAGTGCTGCTTGCACTGTAGGTTGCAAACCTTCCTCCGCGGATGCAGTTGCAGCCTCTGTTTTGTCAGTCCCATGATGAAGGAACTCTGCAAAAATAAACACATTCTTACTCCAGAGTCATGGCTTAGAATGTTCATTAGACTGGATCTTGGCACAATATGATCAGAGTTGTCAGAATGGAACTTATTTCTAAATCTTATTATTATTGTGCTTTTTGTATGGTTATTATATGATATAAATATAGCAAATAAAAACCTAATTATTGATAATTATGGTAGCAGTATTAAAATCCTGCCTTAGTATTTGTTCACTGCTGATACTAAATTCTACTCAGCAACATATAGTATAATAAAAAAAATAAATGCCTCAGTCTCTATCACAAAGAGTTTCAACCTAAACAAGAGAAATTGGCTAGCAATCAGCATACTTTAAATTCCCATTTCAGCAGGTACTTAAATATGTGGCCTATAGTGAAAGTATCAAGATAAGAATTAAACTTTTAAACAGAAAACTTAAATGTTTAAATCCATGCACTTGGCTAGGAACCTTGTTGAAGCAGGGCCTTATATGTGCATGCAAATAGAAAAGGATCCGTCTGAAAATATTTTTAAGTTGTTTTTAGTGTGTTTCTGCTTACATTATTTCTAAATAAGATTCAGGGTTCTCTTCTAAATTCCTTCTCATAAAAAAAAGGAGTCATTTGATTGAAGTTTTCCTGTGCACCTGAGTAAACGCTTGTCACAAAAATGGTGCTTTGGTTTACTAGGCTTTTTTTCTCTTATTTCCATATATTGACATCTCGCTAAAACTTGTCTTTGCTTCTCAGAAAGGAATTCATAGCTTCTAAAATACTCAGGTTACTTTTCTGAGTATAAATTGGTCTCAATTTAGTATACTCCAGTCAAAGAATTACAGAGATAAAGACATACCCTCTGGGTGAAGTGTTGTAATCTCTCTCTTGCTGGTTGTTTCTGAAAAAGAGAAAGCTCTCTCATAGACTAAAGAGTGAGAAGGGGGTTTGGCACTCTTTAATCAGAATAGTACAAATCAGGACTTCATTGAATGTGTTCCTATTAAAGCACAGATTTAAGCAAATACATCCCCACTTCATTCAATTTTTTGTCTGTAATAAAGAATCTACCAAAATCCTTCTCCTAGAAATTTGTCAGATAGGTTTATTTTCTTTTTTCAAAGCCTGAACTGGATAGAACAGCTAAACAGGAAGATTGAACATGAGTGAACACTAAATAAAAATGTTTCATTAAGGGGATTTTTTTCCCCTTAAGAAATATAATCGGGAGCCTAAAATCAGCGGAGGTATTCAGTGAGCTAAAATTGAATCTATCTTTATCAGCAGTGGTAAAACCAGCATGATTTTCCTGTTAGCACCTAACAATTTCCCCTTTATTTGTAATGTGTTGGAACTGCCATACTTTATATTAGAGCCATCTGATCCCGGTGAAAGATTACTGGCTTACATGAAACAATTTTCTGGCTTTGATGCAAACTTTCCTATGGCATTTTCTTGTCCCTTGACCTTTTCACGAGGGGATGCACGCATCCATCCAGAGCATGATATAGATGTGTATATCTGTCCTTAGCACTAAGGTGTGTGACTATGAGCCAAAGGATTAGAAAAACTGGCATTGCTTTTTCATGTCTGTCTCAGCTTGGGAGTTCAAAGGTCCTCCCTCTGCCATGCGCTGATTGAAATCCATACGAATTAAGTTTTTAATCCAGCCCTGTTCCCACAGGACACATATTCAGTCTTACAAGGCTGTAATTTCAGCTCCAGAGCACAGATCAGTGTATGATAATGGAGATAAATATCCCCTTCATCTTTAGAGACAATTTTTCCTTCCAAGATGGAAACCAAGTAACAGAGCAGAGTGGGTCTATTTTTGCCTTTCCAGCTAGTTTTTGCATGTTTTAAGGGGAAATTTGAGCTAGCAATATTTTCAGTTTGGCATTCCTGCTAGTGACCTCAGTGGGTCACTAATCACCCCAAGTATCACCCATTCATTCAGTTTGGCAAGAGCCTCACAGGATTGGCAGGAGCCTCCTAAAAAAAAATTTCTTCCTATCTAACTGGAATATTTCCCTGTTGCAATTGTGTCTGTTGCCTTTTGTCCTGTCCCTGTGCTCCTCTACCTCCAGGAAGAGTCTGGCCCCATCTTCTCTACACACCCCACTAGTATTGAGGACAGCAAAAAGATCTCCCCTGAGCCTCCTCCTCTTTCGTCATGTGCTCCAGCCTCCTCACCAGCTCCGTAACCTCTCCTGGACCTGCTCCAGGACAGCAATTAGTCCACCTTCTTCTGCTCTCTTGCTATTCACTTGAGTAGCAGTAAATGGAAAGGGCACATGAAACAGAGAATAGGACAGACTGCCAGATTTAGTGCAGGAAAGCACCCAGCTACTGCTTCATTCTCGTTGGGTCAAATTTGGTGCCAGCGGAAAAACTGGCAGGAGGAGGCAATCGATCAGATCCCTATTATTACCTGTAACCAGAGATGGACAGAAGGAGACATCCAGCCCATTCAAGGAAGAGTTAATATGTACATTCACAAAGCATTCAATGGCATCTTTGTCGCAGTTGCACAGGAACTGTTCACAGGGATCCCCAGACTCTGGAAATAAAACAAAAATCCAGACAAGGTGCTACTGAAAAATCTTTTCCACCTCCTGCTTTTTCCTCCCTGTAAGGTTTGCGTCTATATTCATTAGTGCAGATCTATCTATACTGTGCTGCTTCACGTTAAACACAGTCAAGTTTCATAGTCCAACACTGTTTTTGAAACGCCAACCAAGGTAGCCTGGCATGGCAATAGACTTCTTGCCTGTGCTGGTTTGTTCTACAGAGTATTGAGGAATACAGAGCACTGAGGACTGCAGAGAAGTGCTTTGCTGCCTCTAGTTTTTCCGTGGAATACTTAACCCAGCTGATATAGGGTTTGATATTTCAAACAGTTTCCTGGGAAATACTATTATCCCACTTCAAAACCTTCTACCTTTCAGAGTTTCAAAAAACATAGACTTTTCATAGCTGTCACACTAATGTTTCATATTTTTGATGGGGACTATTCTATTTTTTTCCTCCCTTTTTTTTAAGTTTGAACAAAATGTTTTCCGATTAAGTATGGAAAGAGCTAAAAAAGCACTACTTATGTTTAGATGCACTTGGACCTTTATAGATGGCCTAAATAACAAAAATGGTTTTAATTGGAAACAAGAAAAAGAAATTGGATCAGATTGTTGCTTAAACATGCTGTAAGGGTATTGGTTTGGGGATTCTGCTCCTCTTTGCTGGTATCCTCAAATCATGGTCCAGCATATAGTCTTTTCTGAGAGCCAATACTTGCTGAAAAATTATACTAAAAAATGATTAGACATTAAAGAAACCTGTTCCACACTTGCCAGGAGTGTACCAGTATTGCATGGAGTAGCTCCTGTTATAACAGCATGGACTCTGCCCTCATTGGTGATACTGTTGTAGCTGAGGAGTGTATATGACCCTGTGAGCAAAGAATTTGATCCTTCAAAGTACATAAAAATCAGGCCATGAAGCTTCAGAAGGGAACTGTTTTTCAGGTCTTTCCCCAGCATCTGCTGCATTTCTGATGTGTGGAGGTATCTCAAGCAATTCTTAGTGGTCCTGCAAAGTCAGGGAAACCTCAGCAAGAGGCTGCCTGTTAGAGGGGCCCTGGCAAGTTTCTAGTTATTTGACTTCAATTTTCCTGCCTACTTGGGCTTTGATGCCTCTGTGTATTCCTATTTCCATTCACCCCTGAGCAGAACACTTAATCCCTTAAAAATCCACACATGGAGGTGCGTTCCGCTTAATTTATATATGACTTTGGGTAGATAGACCAGAATGAACTTCTTGTTCATGGTTAGGCTCCAGTATTAAGCTCTTGTGATAGGTTAATCTTACCACAGGTCAGGTTTTCAGTAGAGCAGCTGACATCTGTAGAAATCTTTGATGGGTCCCATGTGCACTCCATCTCCATTGCTTCCTCGTAGCATTTGCGGTGCTGGAAACAGCATCTTAAAGAATGAAATAACACAGCGTGCACACAATTTAATTTCAGTTCAAGATCAGACTGCAATGCTTTCATGTTGCTCTTACACAAGAATGCAAAAGATGCCAAAGGAGAAAAAGGGGTCCTTAGTGTGGTCCCTAGACACAAGAAAGGCTGAGTACTGCTTTTCCCTGAGTCGGTCTAGTGGGATAGGTACAGCTGGATACAAAACTCAGTGGTGGGAGCAGGTCTGCATGCTTTGGGGGACCACATTTACATTTCTGTCTTGCTGTTGTACCTGAGTCCTTACAAGGACTATACAGGCAGTTTAAATGAGAAATCCACTATCAGTGCCCAAATATCCACCCATAGCACTGTCAGCTCAATGCCAAGCCATGTCTTGGATCCAGTCCTGCCACAACCTTTCTCACTGCAGATTTGGAGAACTGCACAGAACCCGGCACTCATGGAGGGTTAATGTCTCTGCAATGCCTTGTGAATCCCTGTGTCTCATTGAGACTGTATAAATATGTGCAGTGTGATCCTGTTTCTTGTACTTTCTCTTCTATGCAACAATCAGAATTAAAATGCACCATTTAGCCATGGGAAGAGGCCACGAAGTATTTTTCTTACACTGGAATAAAGCAGATTTCTCCTACCACCACACAACAAAGGCAGTTAGAAACCTTGTGTTTTCCTACACCCCTGCCATCATGCAAACCTCAAATGCCTGCATGACCACTTTAGCTGTGAATAGCAATGAAAATTCAACTAAAACAACAAGCTCTTCATCAATCCTCTCTTCTCTTCAGCTGTTTTTGAGCAGGCAAGTCATCTATTTCTGTATTATAGCAGCATCTGTGTGCACTGACATCAGCTATAAATGAAACACCACTAAAACACTCAGTCATCATTTACCCCATATAAAATTGTTACACAGATTAAGCAGGGACTTGCTGTTATATTTAGATTGAAATATCCTCATTTTATAGAAATGGACTCAGAACATGGGTCTGCTACTGAATTGCCATTGGTCTTGACCATGCCAAATGCAGAGGCAACATTAAGACTTAAAACCCGCATCTGCTGCCAGGAAGGGTTAACTTGCGATCACGATGTAAGGATTTAACTTTAATTAAGCTCATGTGGGATTTTTGTTAAAGGCACAGTGAATGTGTTATTACGCATCACCCACAGCCCTGCATATGCACTGAATCCACCGGTGGGCAGAAGCATTCCTGCACCCATCAGAGCAGAGAGCAGCCACCTGCCCCTTGCAGGGTCCCTTTTAGGCTACGCATTCACTTTCTCACTTCCTATATTTAGGAAGCATTTAATATTTGATCACTTACTATATTAATAGACAATTATTACAGTATTTAATTTGTCCTCACAACCAGGGAAGCAGTCCAAGTCCTAACCGTGATCAGACTTTTGACTTGGTGAAAGAAATCACTGATGGGGTTTGCTCAGTTTGCCAGCAGCGGATCAGAGAAATGTTTCAAGACCCACTCCTGTCTGCCTGAGGTCTAGCGAGGTGTCAGCACCTGAAAGCTCCTCTAACTGCATAGGTAGTCTCATACAAACTCCCTGCAGTTCTTGTTTGTTTAGAGCATCACAATTATATCAACACTTACTGCAACAGTTAATAAAAAAATTTATTTGCCTTCCCTAAGTGAGTAGGGAATTGTAAGACATGGATTGTCCTCTGGGCAGGCTTCTCTTTCCCCATGGACTATAGAGGTAGACTAGGCTCCTAATTTAGATATGACAACTAGCTCCTCTGGGAAATGGGAAAATGTTGCGCTTATGGGCACAAACGTTTTCCAATGCCTTAAAAACTTACAGTGAGATGTTCAGCCTTCTTTTATGGAACAGAAATGGCAGTGACAAAATCTGAGGTTTGCAAAACTAGTTTCTAAGAAATAAAGTTCCTGAAAAAATTGCAACACTGTGGGAACTGTGTCTGAGAGACCTGTAGCAGCGACCTGTTTGGAGGCTTTCTTGAACCAAGGTCATACCCGTGTCAGTGGCAAAACAATCATCAGTCTCCATTTACTGCAAACTGCAGTGGGGTTGCCATGCTGCTAAGGAAAACTCACCGCAGGACTACTAACCAATTTGTAAATACAATGTGACTCTGTGGATGTCTCTCGGGACAAAACTGCTGATAGATCATTCTGCTATTTCTGCATTTATGCTGCTCTGCGTTAAAATGAAGCTGAGTGAAGCGAAAGCCCAGGTGCTCGTCTCTTCAGGTATCAATCCATTGAACTGACTCGAGCTCTCCTTTCAGCATGTCATCACGATTATTCAGAAAACCTTTCATGAGAAGTCCCATGGCTTCTTCCAGTAGCAGGGTTAGGTTTTCGTTTTCCCAGCCATCCCATGCTGGAAAGTGGAGGGATTAATTTCCACCTACCTATAGGCATTAGCCCTTTCTGAGCCATTGTCTTCACTTGGGGAATTAATATGTTACATCACATTGTTGGAAAAACCTTTTTTCTTTTTAGACATGGATGGATCTTGATTCCTTTTGATTTTCTTTTCACACCTCCCACTGTCATAAGTGAACAACCATTTGATCGTCCTGGCCTGAGATTACATTTTTGCTCACTAGCCCCATCAGTGTCTGGGGCAATATCCCTCCAAAGCTCAGAGTGGAGTTTGGATGGTTTTGTTCCTGGTGCAGGGTGCTGGGAAGAGCCACTGAGCTACGTTGTTCTCTGTGCCTGGATGCTCCCGTGTCTTACAACCTCAGTGTGTACACAGGTATCGAGGGCAAGACCTGCTTAACCTCCAAACTGCCACTTGAAGTCATACTTAGCTGTAACTTGATTCTGTTGATGCTTAAATCCCCCTCAGATGCCAACACTTTCATTATAGTCCACTATGAGCTTACATTGCTGGTGTATTACACAACTCCCAATACCAACAGTTTGATAAGATTGTAAACCCACTAAACTGCTCAGGTTAATGCTCTCCCACTCACCTTATTAACAGGCCCTCCAGTTTTTGTCACCGATTCAAGTGCAAGACAGAATTCTCCAGTGCAAAGAAGTTAATGAGGTTTTGTTCACAAAGATCTGTTCAGAATTTAAAGATCTCTGGATAAGATATGTCAAGGCGATGGATGTTTACTTATTCTATCATATTAGTTGCCACCTTCTGCAACCGGTTTAAACCAGCTGTGCCACCAGCATTGTACTGGTGGGATTATATGCAGGTGTGAGGGACTCTGCTTTTATCTGTAGCATGGGAGTATTTCTCCACGTTGAATTGTGGGCAAATAAAGAGAGACTTCAATCTATGAGAAAAAGAAGCAAGTGGACCATCACATGCTGTAGATTATGACCACCTTGACTTCATCTGTTTCCAAACCATGCTGTAAGGTATCTGGTAGAGGGTGTTGGCCCAGCAGAAAGATAGTGCTCACTAGCAGGTAGGAATAACATAGGACAGGGCTGATAAACCAGAATTGAAGTTCTTTCATGGGTCATATCAGATACTTAGGTCACAAGCTAGTAATGACTAGATTAAACAGAGCCATATGGTGTGGGACTGACTGACCCTCTGAATAAATCTTCTATTTTTTTACAACTGTCCTTAAATCATTTAGGCAAGTGTTACGCTTCGGGTCATCAGAGCATGAGGGCACTGACAGCAGTCAGGGCAGAAGAGGACATCTCATGGATAAGACTTACTCATCAGCTTCATCCACAGGGAGCCCTTCCATCTCAAACCGGCAAGAGCAACCATAGTCTTCAAAATCCCTGGGACAAAAACCAGTAACACACTTCATTTTGTTCACAAAGTTGAGCAGGGCAGGGAAGTTAGTGAAGATGGACTGTAGCCAGGTGAAGTGCGAACCTAGGCAGTCTGGAAGGAGAACAGCCATAAAATGCACGGTAAATGGAGATGAGTTAGGTGTGGGTTACACATGGGTGATGTTCATGTGAACGCAGAGCCTAAACAAGGCAGTAACACAGGGACATTGAGCAATGCTTGACACTCAGCGGTATTTAGTATTATAATAATCTTTGAGGAAATCTACAGCCTCAAAAATCCCTGCTCCTTTTCAGTATATATAAAAGAAAACTCCACAGGATTTCTGTTCAATGCTCAAGTACAACTGGAATACATACTTACCAAAAAATAATGCAACACTTTCCACATTTTGAAAGACTCCATTGAAGAATGTGGCATTATCTAAATGAAAAAGTAAACAAACAACTCTCCTTTTTAAAAAAGTAAATGACAAGAACTGTCCCCAGACTGCCCCATGTCCTGCTTCAGTTGTTAAACTCTTTTGAGATAAGACTTACTAGCTATTTGCTAACAGCACACTTCCCTGCAATGCTGCTGGAATACGAGTGATTCCCCACTGCTATGCAATAGTAAAGTAAAGCTTTAAGTAAAGCTTAAACCATTCTTACTCAAGATTCTTTCAGGTGTGTCGAGAAGTTCTGGCAGGAATCCTGGTGGCTCCAGTTCTTGGCCACCTACCTCAGCAAACAATTTGAGAAGAAAAAGATTTAAAAATAAAAAATAAAAAGACCCGCAAAGCAACAACATATACTTCATGATGACACATACACTGCAGGCATTTTGAATACCTTACTACACTTGCAAGCTGATTTATCAAAGCCATGAAACACTTGCTTAGCTCCATCCACACCCAGGAAAGCCCAGAGGCATACTAGTAAATCACGCTGGCTTAAAAATCAGTCCTCTGTTAAACTGAAGCATTGCTAGTGAGGATGTGCTAACCCTTGTATTCCTGTGCTCTTCTGAACAGTAGCACTTACTGGGATCAATCAGTAGAATTGTATAAAATTGTTTTAGTTGCCCAACCCCCTTTCCTTGTCCCAAATATTTCTACTCTGTAACCTTGTGTTGAAGTCAAGAGGTTTGGTTTTTCTGAGTCTTTATTGCCTATTGCCTTATTGCCTCTCTTCCTATCACTCTTTCTTAAGTTAATTATCTCTTTTGCCTTTTGAAGATGCTGTGGTATATTTTCCACACTTTTTTTTTATTATTTCCATGTCCTGAATTAGGATGAAATCTAATATTTTTTCTCTCCCTTCCCATTTTTTTTTCCTTGTTCTTATCTTCTGCATGATTTTAGGAGAGAATATGTTACTTTGGATTTATTTAAACTTGACTTTTTTTTTTTTTTTTTAAGGTAATAAGCCAAGGGTATTTGTTGGCTCAAGGATCTAAAAATTGAAGAAAGACCCCAAATGTTAAATTCATGGCATAGCTTATATCTCAGAATGACTGACATTAGGAAAGCTGTCCATTGTCTCTGTGAAAGATTCTGGGAAGGAGCTGCCACTTAATCTTGCTAATTTGTTGCCTTTTCCTGCAATAAATACAGGTGTAAGAGAGTAAAGTGGAGTAGTGGATTTTTTAGATATAAGGCTTAATTCTATGTTTAGAAAAGGATTAGGAAAAAATAGGACTTTTTTTTTAAGATCATATATAAAGGATGTCTACAACTTTTGTGGAGTGAACAAAACGTTCATGGTAACAGTCATGCGCTTCCAGCAATTCATTTCTCAAGTTTAGTGGCAGAATATGGATATGGGATTGAGGGAGGTAGAAAGAGGTGCTTACTCTTATGTTATTCTTTTCCTCAAAGTCTTGGTCACAGCAAAAGGCTTTTATATGAACAGCAATCCATCAGAATTGTCCTTCATTGCAGCAGGTCATTGGGGAACAGATTGCTTTCCACAAACCAGAAAAGGTCTCCCAATAAAGGTTGGCCTTTTCACAGAACTGGAACAAGCCTGTTGAAAGCTTGATGGCCATGAGGCATTCAGATTCAAGTGAAATAATGGCGTGCCTTGCAAAATAAATAGCATTGAATGCTATATATTCGTACACATGCTTGCTAAAGAAGAACTGCCCCTTATATTCTGGCTGAAAGCCTGTATTTCCTCTGCAATGACAAACATCCTTCCTCCAAGCCATGTTCTATCGAGTGCATCTAGAGACACGTTTTGACACACCGCATAACGCCATGGCTCAATCGCAGTGTCTGTTGATGAATAGCCATTGATCATTTAGTGCTGTCAGCAAAACTTTGGAAAAAATGAAAATGCCATCGAGTTGAAATAAGACAGAGGAGAGAATTGATAAACCACGTTACAGAAGTTTTGGAAATTGTGATTGCTCCAGCATCCTTCATGTGCACTGAGTTCTTTTCACCAAACTTAACTTGCACACACCCAATTAACACATAAACGTCTGAAGGTCCCCTGGAGAAAAGTCTCTACCAGAGGTTCAGCAGCTTGGTAAACCTTTGGCTCTTCTAATCCTTTCATTACAGAGAGCGATATTTCTAATTGTCACTAAGTCAAGATCAATGAACCAATGTTTGCTAACAAGATTGCTTAATTTTGTTTAAGTTGTGGGGGGAACGACAAAGAGACAATACTTTCTGGATGAGTTATTCTCTTTTCTTCTTTTGCTATAATATCTTTTTGGGCTATTTGTCCTACTTTGCTCCCTGTATAGCCAGTGAAAGATTGAACTACAAAAATCAATCCTTTAAACCTCAGAAGACCCTGGGGAAGTCAACTTCTCTTGCCTTTCTCTAAAACCTGCTAAATGACTTGGCACATGTCCTGAGGATACTTGTATGATACATCAGCTCTTCGGCTTTCCAGTTGTATACCTTATCCACAGAATTTCTTTCAACATTCAGATACATGTAAAATTGTTTCTGAACTGTGTCTGTGATGTTGCTGCTCTGACAATGCTTTTCTGAAGTGTTATCTGAAAAAAACCCATCAAAAAAACATCAGTGCACCTCCAGGTTTTTTTTTGCAATCATGGCTAATTAAAATGTCATAATATAGGGCAAGGATGCAGTCATTATAATCATCGGGGAGCAGAAACCTTGATTGTGCCGGGAAAAGTCATGGTGCAGCAAACCCAACCTATTTGATTTATTCAAGGTAAATCGTATTAGCTCCTCACAAAGATGCTAGTTCATGCACACATATTTGCTTCAGTCTCAAAGTAGAGACCAGCAGAATAGATCCCACATAAATATAAATCAATAATCCTCTCCAAATCTAAAAATGGTAACATTTTAAATCTTTGTGCTCAGATTGTGCTTAGCTGGGGAAAAGAATCTAAAAACTGTGGCACAGCCTTTAGAGGTCTGTGGGGAAATCTCTTTCAAAGGTTATGTCAGAAAAATTTCTGAGTGTCCAGATATTTCTGAGTGCACTAGATATTATCAATATATAGTCCCCTTTTCATCTGGGGACTAAACACCCCTTTATTTTTTATGTATAAATGGTGTAAGCATTTTGGCATTCTCTGTCACTGCAGTGGGAAATGCTAATATTCTTACTGATTTCTATTGGTATGGTAGGAATCTTCAGGTCCAGCTTCATCAATATATTTTAGCCCATGTGTTTTGTGTTAGGCTTGTTTCTTTACTGACTTCTAATGCACACAGCCCCTTAGAAGAGAGGAAATTGGTGAAGTTAAAGTAGGTCAGTGCAGAATTTTGTCTAGGCCAAGGTGCTGAGCTTTCTTCTCCCTTTAGAGATAATATACTATATATTTTGTAAGTACTCCATAGAAAAACTTATTTAAGTGTATTTGGATGTTGAACAACTAAGTTTGAGGGGACAGAAGGCATGCTTCTAAAGAATTGTTTCCAAATGCACATACTTAAAGTAGTATTTAGTCATAAATGTTAAATAATCATAAAAATACATTGCCACTTACCACTGTACAACACCATTGACATAGACAGCAGCAGAATTACAATCATTTTTTGTTTAATTCGAGGACAAGAAAAAGTCACACAGCAGACTGGTATGCCTGGTAAGTTAAGTAAAATATTAGGCAGAATGTCATCACTTGAGTCTGGGAGTGGGAAGACATCAGTTTAGAAAATCATTCTTTTGTAACCTGGCCATATTTCTGCTTGATGCAATTTAGTTTTTATCCTTATTGTAGTAAATGCACATATTACAGCAATGATGAGCCTTAGGTATCCTCCAAATTTTATCAATATGTCCCCTATAAACCTGACTAAACTAACAATATATATTTTGGTATTGCTTTAGGTGAGTCAACAGGCTCTGCCAAAGTGCAATAGACAAGGAAAGTCCATTTAGCAATGAAATGGTGTACTTGAAGTTTCTTTTGTTTTGCAAACAGTTTCCACATCTTACTTGATCTAACAGGATGTTTAAACAATTCTTCACATTATGTATAAATGCAGATATTGTGGAACACTGTGTAAACGAAGACACCTTCTGGGATTACTTCTATTGAACCCAGTTAATCTGCAATCCATTATATTAGTTTGCTTCACATCACAAAAATGCCTCCCACTTTGTATTCAAACATTTACTCTAATCTGTGTTGAGACTGATCTAATGTATCATGTATTTTCCTAACGATAAATGCTACGTTGTTTGGAGATCTTCACATTCCGGGTGTGCTTGTCCTTACAGAAAAGTGTGTAAAGAATTCTTCTGAAGCTAAAAGCCTTGCACTAGTATTCATTAAATGACAGATACTAGATTGGTTTTGAACTACAGTCGCAGTTTACTCTAAATTTAGCATGATTTTCAAAGTAATCAGCATGGAGTTTTTTACAGCCAAATAAATGAACATTTATTTATGAGTTTTAAAATATGTATCTACTGTTGATTATCTGCTTCCCTAAGGTCAAATATTGCATTCATTTCTATTAAAAAATCTTGTAATATTTCATCAGGAAATGAGGTTATAAATCTAACAGCTCTAAATATTTATAGTCTACTATCCCAAATCTCCTACCTATACTTTAGTCTACAACTCCACAGTCCCAAATAGCTTATTCTACATTGTTTTCTTCCTGATTCCTGTATTATAGAGTATATCTAGAAAGGCTTACCTTGAGGCATATTATTCGAAAGCAGTTGGATGGAGGACAAATGGATTTCAACAAAGTCAGTACTAAGTTATTTATACCCACTTGGATATATACCTCACCCATGTGATCACTTCCTTTATCAAACCCCCTTCAACATTTATTAATTAATTCTTCCATGAGATTCCTTAGAGTCATTATGCCCACAGTGTATCTTAGTAATACAGCTCCAGCCATGTAAAGGATCTATACTGAGAAGTCTGTTCTGCAGGTGCATTCACTGTATAGTAACTTTCCCTAATACTCCTGGCTGTAATTAAATAACAATCATCTCATTGTTATTAATCACTCACAATATCTCTGGAGCATGTGAATATGGCTTTAATAGCTTAGCAAGAGGTAGTACTCAGTGATGAAAGATGAGTGAAAATCTATACAGCTTTAAACACTGGCATTCCTCAGGTTGAGAAGTCTGCTCTTGTCTATCCACGGTGGCTCTGATCCAAAGCTGAGTGAAATCCAGGGGAAGGTTGAGTCAATGAGCTTTGGGAAGGCTCCTCGTTGTTGGGAAGGTGTGCTTTCTAACAGGGTCAGACACAGCTACCCTTCAAAGGTGCCATCAACAAAGGCAAACTGTCCACTGAGCTTTAGCATGGAGAAGTGAGAAGTCTGACAAATTGGGAAGTGTAAAAATACTTACGTGAACAGAAGGCTTGGCTCCTCCAAGGCCCTGTGAACTACATTTTCTTCAGAAAGGCCTTTGACACTAGGATCCTCATAGAGAACCTGTTGATACATGGGCTGGATGAGCCCAGTGCAGTGGGTTGAAAACTGGCTGAATGGTGGGGCCCAGAGGGTGGTGGTCAGCGGCACAAAGTCTGGTTGGAGGCCAGTGACTAGCGGTGTACACCAGTGGTCAATACTGGGTCCAGTCTTGCTTAACATCTTCATTAATGATCTGGATGCTGGGACAGAGGGTACCCTCAGGAAATTTGGAGATGACACTGAACTGGAAGGAGTGGCTGAAACTCCAGAGAGTCATGCTGCCATCCAGAGGGACCTTGACAGGCTGGAGAAATGGCCCAACAAGGAACTTCGTGAAGTTCCACAGGAAGGGCAAAGTCCTGCACCTGGGGAGGTACAACCCCATGCACCAGTATATGCTGGGGGCCACCCAGCCAGAAAGCAGCTTGGCAGAAAAGGACCTGGGGTCCTGGTGGACACCAAGTTGAGCTTGGGTAAACAGTGTCTTGCAGCAAAGAAGGCTAAGGGTATCCTCGGCTGCATTAGGCAAAATATTGTCAGCAGATTGAGGGAGTAGATCCTTCCCCTCAACTCAGCACTGCTGAGGCCACACCTGGAGTACTGTGTCCAGTTTGGGGCTCCTTAGTGTGAGACATGTGGACAAACTTGAGACAGTCCAAAGAAGGGCCACAAAGATGATTAAGGGACTAGACGACCATCTCTCATACGAGGAAAGGCTGAGAGCTGGGACTCCTCAAATTAGAGAAGGCTCGGGGATTTTATCAATACCTATAAATATCTGCAGGGAGGGTGCAAAAAGAACAGAGCCAGGCTCTTTTCAGTGGTGCCCAGTGACAGGACCAGAGCTAATGGGCACAGACACTGGAGGTTGCCTCTGAACACCAGGAAATAATTTTTTACCATGAAGGTGACCGAGCACTGGCACAGGTTGCCCAGAGAAGTTGTGGAGTCTCCCTCCTGCTCTCCTCCTTTGGAGATATTCCAAAGCCGTCCAGGCATGGTCCTGGGCAACCAGGTCTAGGTGGCCCTGCTTGAGCAGGGTCGTTGGACCAGATGACCTCCGGAGGTCCCTTCCGACCTCAACCGTTCTGTGAGTCTGCGATTCTATATCAATTCAGTACTGATGTTGCCAGGAAAAGGACAGGGTGCAGTCATACTGTTTGCGTGACCAGTCCTATCAAGGAGCTTTACAGAAGAGTGAAACAAGGCAGAAATTATACCTTAATGATATGAAAATTCATTTTCATGTCAGTTTTGGTTCTTCCAGTTGGAGTCTCCAGGGATTGCCTAAAGAGCATTTTTACTGCCTGAACGAACATTTTCAGCCTGACAAATCAGAGTGGGTTTGACTGGGCATAATAATAAATGAGCCCTCTGAGATACTGATTAGCTCATATGCCACCATCATTTCTGTACTTCTGCCAAACATGCATAGAGGCTTTGCAGGACTGAAAACCCCAGAATACAGAAAAACTTTTTTTTTTTTTTTTTTGAGGGCAGTTTTTTTCATGGAGCCTTGCTTTTTCATTCCTTCTCTTATTTTGTAGTTTTTCTCATTAATTTTCATTATTCTCCTGGGAAAGCCAAGCAGTAGGTCTTAAACAACTGTGACGAGAAGGTCACCATTCAGGACAGGTACCATTAATCTTTTCTCAGCTCCTTTCACAAGACCCATAACGATGTGATACCTTCTCATTCTCTCCCCGTGACCATGCTCGGGCAGTAGCTCTCAGCCCTTTCCAAGACCTTTGAGTGGAGATGGCTGTGACCTACCCCCAGTGCCAGTGGTGGCTCAGGCACACCCTATCGCACTATAGAGAGGTTATCACTCTGTCCAAGCACTTGTATTCCCGCAGGAAAAACACAGAATGATTTCTTATAAACACAAAAGTGTCCTTTAGCATGGAGACCAGAGCTACAACTCAGGGCTGATTAAATTCATTACAATAATAAAAACCCAATCTTTTAAAAGGGAAGCCTTTTCAAAAAATATTTTTCTTTTGATATTGTCTTTTTATTGAAACCTAAAAAACCTAGAAAGTCAAACTGTCCTTAATCATTGTTTTCTTCCCTTATGTTCTTGTTTTCATGTCCTTCTTCCTGAGTTCTCAGAAAACTTAATGGTAAAAATGTAAGAAACAATATAGATTTTTTTTTTTTTTAAATCATGTCTTCAGGCTTTCAGATATTTTTGTGAGATTTAAAAGCATCAGTTACACAAAGGTGTAATTCACCCAGCTCTTCACAGCAGAACTGATCCTGCCTTGGGTGAGGAGAGGTGCTGCAGAGCGAGATCTCTCCACAGCACTGCAGTACCATGGCCATTTTAATATTCCCAATTTATACATTCAATGTATCGACACTCCTATTTCTTCCACTGGCCTAATTTTCAGTATCAACTGGAACTGGTACTGATACGATCTATCCTGCTCTTTGATATGACAGAAATGTTTCCATCATGCTATTGGGCACAATGGTGAAATGTATTTTGGAAGAGGGTTGCTGCATCCCACCTCTCCCTGGGGGCAGCATTCCTTATGGTACCACCTTTCTCTGTGGCTTTATATTACTTTGAACATGTATTTCTTCAGTGAAACAACAATATGTACCAGCTCTAGTGCAAATAATCTTTTTTTTTTTTAAATATAAATGGCTTGATGATGTACTTTAGGTTGGTAGTAGCATCATACTGTTGCAGTGTAGCAAAATATAGGATCATGTAATTTGTTTGGTTATTCTTTCCTTTTTTATAACTGGCTTTTAGTTCACCAGAGGTCCATATAAGGAAGGAGATGAATCTTGGTGAGCTCACACAAATGTATCACAGAGTGAGACTACAAGAGGTGTGAACATTTCCTTGGTTGAGCTCTGCACTAGATGGGTTGATGAAGTAACGGGACACTCTTGATTTGGAATAATGGACAATCTGCATGTGTTTAACACCAGGAAAAATCCTTCTTGTCTTCAGTATTTCAGGTTGCTTTTAAATTATATTTGCTCATTTTGATTACTTTATCTTAATTGTAACTAAAACTAGAAAAAACTATTTGCATTCACTAGCCAACCATATAAATATCCTTTATAAAATAAAATTTTTAAAAGCCTTTCAATGAGTTTATTTCAGTTACATCGCCTGTATGAAATACATCTGGTTTTACACATTCTTTTTACAATGCCCTGGAAGAAGACACATTTCTAGGTTAACATCTGATTAATAGCTCGTCTTGTTACAAATATTTGCAAATAACACGTTGCATCCTGATTTTTACACTGAGAAATGAAAGAGACAACTAAAACTGTCACCAATCTTCAAATTTGCAGTAAAATTCCTCAGTGCTCTAGATCGACGTACAGATGTTTTTAAGGCATTTTTGTTTTAAGGCTGGAAGAACACAAGAAAACTGCCATCAGAAGAGTTTTTACAAGGAAAATATTAAAAATGTACATGAAGGTTAAATAATCTTTTTTTTAAATCCCTTTAAAAAATCATTATCAGATAAAATAGCTATCTGATGAAAGACAGCAAATACTCTGTGGATATCTAAAACTTTTTGTTATACCTTTATAATAAGGTATGTACAGATATAAAGAGAAAATATACTTACTGTGGGAGTAAGCAATTCTTTTGACTCTTTCACAGATGTAACTTGCATTTTTCAAGAACCAGGAATAGTATTCAACACAGTACCTAAAGGTGGAGAGTAGTAGCTTGTTACCTTTCATAAGCACAGCTGCATGGATATCATACTGCTAATATTGAATATGGCAATAAAAAGCTTGATTCTGACCTCAATGATGTCATTAGATATTTGGAAAAAATTCATCTGAGCTTTATTCACTTAGTTTGAATACTGGAAGCCAGATCAGGTATTGATCAGTGCACTGGGGACCCATTTGGGTCTCAGCCAGTAGCCAGCCACAGACTCTCAAAAATAAGCATTGGTGATTGAAAATTGTTTGGAAAAAAAAAAAAAAAAGAATATTTTAAGGAGAGAGAGAGAGAGAAACCAGTGTCAGGTTTTACCTCATGGCTTCCTTTCTGGAATATCTTCTCTGACCAACACAGAGGCACAGCTGAAAAAACCTACACAGCTCCATCACACAGGGATTGATCTTTTGCACTATAAGAGTAACAGGAGGCGAGGTCACCTGGGACTCTTTGAGGATTGCCTGTGGACACCCTAGGAAAGAATGCAACTGGGAACTAGTTCAAATATTTCTCCCATTAAATTTCTTGCAGTGCCTTATCTGGGCTGTGAGAAACATGCAGATTAATAAGGTCATGTAGGTATCTTAAAATCAAATCTGAGAGAGGCAGATAACTGAAAAGGAAACAACACACAGCCTGGCAGTTGCTTGAGTGAAAGCACAAATATTCTGTTCAATTTATTATTATATATCATTACTGGTTACTTACTTAAAACCACATTGCTTTCATTTATCACAAATGTAGGAACAACTCTAAAGATGTAATTTATTCATTGTTACCTGTGTAGGTGTAGGTTCAGTTGCTACTGAAGCATCGGTTTTCCACAGTGCAAAACAGCAAGACAAAGAACAGCACTGTACACTTACGATATTTGATGTTTTCTATATGCATATGCTACTTTAATGAAAAATTCACTTCCAGTTTCACATGCTTCCCTACACCCACCCTCTAAATCTGAAGCCTAGATTAAATATGACTGATAAACAGATTCTCACTGCTCTCTCCATCACTTTTTTTACCCGCATTAACAAAATAAACATGATTTATGCAGAGGTTATGGCTTTCTCTCTGTCCATCTCTCCGTCTGCCAGTTTTCACTTTCTTGCTTCTAGTGACTTGAATAATCAGCTAATTTCAGCCCAAGTTTTAGGGATGGGTAAAGATCCTCTGGATAAATACATTCCTACAGATTTCATGAAAACTGACAAGGAACTGGAGGAGAAAAGGTCAAGTTTTGCCTGCACTGAGAGGAAGGTAGGAATAATTTCTCTATTTTACTATTTACTTCCCAGGAGCCAGCTGCTTAATCAGTGTTTTTTCCTTCAAGTGACTACCATTATATTATTTTAACTTAAGAAAAATGCAGGGAAATGGTATACCTGGAGATGGACTCCCTTTTTGCCTCTCTTGAGCCAGCTAAAGGGAAAATATCTAGTTTATTCATTGAATCTTCTGCAGTCAGCAGCAAGAGAAAAAACATTTGCACACCAAACATTTCATCCTGCCAGCAAATACCACTGTGCCAGACTGCAGAAAAAGCAATACTACAGAAGAGGTGATGGCAGCTTATAACAAAATCCTGAATTGCTATGTGGTTTTTCAGTGTCAAATACAATCTCCCTTTCTGTTATAGAAAAGAGAAAAGAAAGCAAGGTGGAAATGGGGGAAATTGAGAAACAGTAAGGCAAAATTGAAGCTGTTTTCAGTTTTTCAGGGCTTTTCTTCACCATATTAAGTGAAAAACCTAAGATTTGCCACAGTCTTGTCTTCTCCAAACCATTACCTGTCATACATAATCTTGCACCTTAGCTAACAGTTGTGTTATGATGGATCAGAATCGAAGGACTTGCTAGAAAAAAAAACCAAAACACTATTTACCGTATGCTAAAAGACTATCAAGACATGGCTAAAATAGGTCTGTGACCACCTCTCCTTTGCACATTTAATAACTGTGCTCTGAAGAGGAGATGCTGTGTGTGGGCTCACTTTGGGTTGCTTCAGTGAAGCCACTTGCCCCGCAAAAACATCACACCCAACCGTGAGGAGCTGCCTGCACGCCCCTCGTGTTGTCCCCTGCGTACAGCAATCCTTCCAAAGGGATGTCTCCTCTGCACCAGCACTCCGAAAAACAGGGAGACATCCCTGCAAACGCCACGCTGGGGCTCTGAAAAGATAACTGGGGACCAGGCTGTGAGAGTGCATTTTTTGCATGGTGTGGGTGTCCCCTTCATGTGCACCCATTGGGGTGGAAGAGCCCGAACGTGCAGAACGAAGGCGGCTGCAGCATCATTGTCAGCTGGTTTTTCCATTTGTGTAACTAGCAGCAGGTTTTGGCCATGTGTAGATAAACTGCCTTACCTGCAGAGTATAATCCCCTTAGACAGTGTAATTGCATTTCTAGGTTCACATGTCTCACATGCTTTATAGCTCTGGGCCATCTTATGTTATGCGATAGGAGAGGTTATGGAGGTTAAATTTGGACTAATGAAGTTCTGTTGAAATAAGCTTGAATCATCTAGTGCTGACAAGAAGTTTAATATAAAATGGCATTCATGGGCAGGAGGAAAATAACGGCTCTGCCAACCTGAAAGAGATCGCTACAAAACTATTTCTCTTCTGCCAGTGCTCGCCCAAGGTAGCAGGAGTCCTGGAGGAGCAACGGGCAGATACTTGCAGCTCCCAGGTCCCACGGGTCCCTCTGAAAAATGGTTGTGTGTCAGAGGCACGACACAAATATCAGGCGTAATTAGTGAGCGATGCAAAAGAAGGAGCCCCATTTCTCTTAATCTTAGCAGCTTTGCATAAATGTCATTAGGCTTTGTCCACTTAATAGCATTTGACACACCTTGGGTTTTTTTTTGCACTCCATGGCAATGAAAAATGAATGATTTCTTGCTTTAATAAACACTCTTCATGTTAATAACTGAACATCAGAGCATGCGGCAATGAGGTTTTAATATAAATTGTCCATGAAAAGGGATGTTAGAATTTCTGTGAATACTTGAAACTTGCTAAAGGCCACCCTCCAATGAATGTCAAAGTCTCCACCAAAGTGGGTACTCACTATCCTGCCTAACAGGTGTTAAATGCTTTACTCAAGCCATGTGTTTTGCCAGCAGAAATTCAGCTTTATCCAAATGTAAACTGAATGAATGCAATTTCAGTTTGGATTCATGTATGTGGGAAAGAGAAGTCAAATAAAATGCTGAAAGGTAAACAAATTTCTTTGGTTTTAATTTCTGACAATCACTTAATTTTACATTAGTGCTGCATTTACATAATACTGTATTTATTTAATGCTGAAATTCTCTTTCAATTAATGTTATATTTAATTTTATTTGGATTGGATAGTGTTGAAATTAAACTTTTCAGTCCTTCATAGTTAATTTTTATATCTCTTCTGTAATAAATTTCTACTGTGAAATGTGGATTTGTATTCAATTCATTGGATTCAAATTAAAAAAAGAAAATTAAAAGTAGGAATTTATTTCAGAACTTTCTTGTCTAAGAATTTTCTTTTCTAAAAAATTGTCAGTCAAAATAGGCCAGAAAATGCAGGAATCCCTGTGCAGAGCTTTGCTCTTTTCTATTTGAAATTGCCATGTTACTGTCACAGGCAGATAAGTGACCAGTTCTTGCTGCAGCAATTTTCCATTACTAAGCCACCTGCTTATCCTGGAAAAGTGGGGACCATTTTTTTTCCTTTCTAGTCTTGAGCTGAGCACAGGCATTGCCCCAGCATCATGCACTATAGGAGTTTTCATGCCAACCTCAGTGGCAGCTACCAAATTTCTCCTCCTAAAAAGATTACGCTGCACCAAACAGCAGACAATCACAGTCCTGGTCTGGAATACAGATTTTTATCTGGATCCCAGGGCAGGCAATCTGGATTTTCCCTCCACTGTGAAAGCATAATAATACTGATGTGCTTTCCATATTCGTATCAGTGCTGGAACACACACACCAATGTATCCCTCAAGTTGACTTCCTTAACTACCAGGTTAATGGGGAGCAGAGAAACAGCAACTGTGACACACATGCAACTTCAGGTATACCTTGCCTGCTGCTCAGCTGGCACTTGGCTTGGTATCCAGTATGACCACTGGGAGCAAGAACACCAGACTGGGAGTGGAAGGACCCCAAGGGTACAAAAGATATCTACAGGACGAGGCACGTTTTTACCTAGTTTTAGGTGTCCATGATGCTGGTACCTAGAGCTGAACTAGTCAACTTCAGTCCCCAAGACTGGGATTTGTGGCCGAGATTTATTCCCGTTGTACTCCTGAGCTCTGCTCCTACTTTGCAAATTTGGGCGTAGGTAGCCTGGACTCAGACACACACACATGCTCAGCATCCAAAGTAGGTGCTGGACTCTCCCAGAGTTCAAATTCCTCTCCTTGCATTGAATTAGGTCCAGTTTTTCAAAGCAAGTAATCTCTTACTAATACTGCAAATACAATTTTATTGCCACCATGAGTATATCATACTTGTAAGTGGAGTGGCACATCATCTTATATTAACTCTTAATTTATAACTCTTTATTTTGGTGCTTAAAAGGAAGAACTGAGCTTTCCTGAAAATCTAGTTGATAATTATCCTTTTTTGGATGAAGAGGAAGCTTGCAGTACTGTAAATTCAGGGCAATTTTTGAGATTTCATGTGGCATGGATTGACTTAATAATTTCATTTGTACCAATAGGGAGGTTTAAAGCATGATACTTTCTTTTGGAATGAATGAATTTTAAGATTCTCCAATAACCAATCTACGTTAAAATTGACACGTGAAGTACATATGTTAATTTTATCATCATAGTATAATTTATGTTTTGATTGTGTGATTGTGTATGATTCACAAACAAATATGGAAGCAGTGCCTTAGACATTTTGAGTGGTTTACATACATGAGATAACACATAAATTAAACACGTATCTTGTTTCTGTGTGGGAAAATTTGCATATTGATATAGGTTCAAGCATACTCCTATTTTTGCTGCATAAGGTGCAGCTACTTACTGGTAGCTGAGTAAAGTTTCAGTGTCACAGCAGGCCTGTAGGGTGGCATAGGCAGTACTGAGGAAGGCAAATCTGAAGGAGGGAAAAGAATATAACTTGCCTTGACATCTTAAAAAAGAAAGGAAGATTGATTGAAAGAATAACAGAAAAGAAAAGAAAAAAGAAGCTGAAGTCAAAGACCACTAATAAACACTTACATAGACATTGATGTATAAATACTTTCATAGTCACCTATTTCTATATATATTATTTTCTGTTTCATAAATGTGCCAACCGACACACTTTGTTATTATGCCAGATCAATCTCACCTGGCTCTGTTTGCATCAGTCTGCTGGTTTCTTGAGGAGACACTGTCTGCATCCAAAATGCGTACATGTCAGCTATGGGAACAGAAAGACACATGCTTCATGTCATGGAGGTTATTTGTTAGCTATCTGTCTACTGAGAAGAATTGCTGTATATCAGGCAGCTCAACAGCCGGAGTCCCTCACCCAGTACTTCCAGTGGCATATAAAAATGTCAAGATGAAAAAGGAAGGACAAAAGCTGTACTTTGCTAGATCTTGAGGAGTCCATGGGCTAGGGAAAGGTAGGATTTAAAGAAGGTATATTTAGTGGAGACCAAGAGAAGCAGCTCTGTATTGCTTTTCCACAGGTCTACTCACCAAATTTGGAGCAAAATGCGAGGGAAGACCTGGGTGGCAGAAGCATCCATGAGGAGCAAGACTTAGTTTTTCCCCAAAGCATAAGAAACTACAGGATGGCCCCTATAACTAATTTTAGCGCTTCTCCAATAAAGAAATCAACTCACTAGTGACCCAGAGCGGGTGTCCCTGAAGGGCCTCCCAACCTCCACCTCAGGGATGTGGTTTGAGCTTTTGGCCAAACCCCACCACCAGCGGGATAAAGCAGATGTCTCTCCTCCTCGCCGTACTCACTGGGGCCGGGCTGCAGGGCTGGCGATGGGGCTGAGCCCCCCCCAGCAGTCGGTGGGGGTCCGGCTGTGCCCCGTGGTCTGGAAGCATCCACAGGCGGTGATGGAAACCCCGATCCTTTCGCTCCAACCGTCTTTGGCCACGGTAGGAACCTCGTGGTAGGGATTTCCTCCCCTTTCTGGGCAAGAGGGATCCTGGTAGCTGGAGAAGCAGGAGAGACAGGGGGAGGGCACCAGCAACACACTGGGGATGCTGGTGCCCCATGGCAGCAGCCAGCGTGACACACTGGGGGACAATAATATTGAAAATACACCCAGAAAATCCCATCTACACCTTGAGTGTTTCCCCTCTCAGGTGAGCAGCCACCTCTCAATTTCATTTTAAATCTGGAAACACGGGGAGTGCCAAAAATGTTTGAAATTTTAACTGAGAACATTTTAATGTGCAAGTTTCTATAAACAAAAAAAGAAACTGAAATGTTCCTGCTAAGTATTTTTTTTTCTTCACATGAATTATTTTTTATTTCCTAAACTGCTTGACTACAGAGGAAAGAGTTGAAAGCTCTTGTGTATGTGAAGGGGAGCAGGCAGGTACTGGAGGGCAGATACTGGAATTTGAGAACTGACTATCTTTTGTGGCAGGAATGATACTTCAGGCTAAAAAACACAATAAAGGTTGGTATGCAGTTAAGCAAATTAAAAGAGCTTATAAAAAGACAGCAGACCGACTAGCAAAACTGTAGAAATTTTGCTGTAGAGAGATGTAGCTGCAGTGACGAGGAGGTATGAAGTCAAGGGCTGAATTTCTCTTGGCTTCTACTATGTGCAAGCAAGTGTGAAGCCTTGCTTTTTGGCTTTCAAAATAAGGCAGACTAGCACTTTTCTATCTTGAAGCCCTGTGGCAAAGATAAATGCACTGAAGTTTGTGAAGTGCTCAGGTACTCGTAACTGAACATCATATAAAGTCAAAGATAGAGAAAAACACAGAAAAAATGACAATAAAAAAGGAGAGGAAACAGTTTAAATGATTTTTTTGTTTGTTTAAAACCAACAACCATTTTTTCTTTACTTCTCTGCCTCTTTAGAAAACTTCTTTTTCTAATAAAATGGCTTTTTACAATAGTTTTTCTATCCTTCAGCTATTCAATGCATTACTGACCTGATCTTCTGCTGTTTCAGACAAACTTTTATCCTACTCTGTAAGTGTAGTTCAACATCACAGTGCCGTGCAGCAAACATACATGATCACTTGTCAAGACGTTAATCAAGGAGAATATAAATTTAGGTCTGATGATATTTGCTCACTTTTAAATGTCCACACATGTTCTGCTGATGGATCCACTGTTTTGTTAGGGTCTTACTGTAATTTCATGAAACTTGAAAACATCAAATCTAGGTCTTTGAGGTACAAGAAGATAGGGTTAGAACGCTCACCAGCCATCACACATTGTGTGATAAAAAGGGAAGAAATCAGCTTCTGGTATAATAGAAAAAGCTGTTGTCTTTTTTAATTACAGTTATTTTTGGCAAAGTGTCTTTGACTTTTTTTTTTTTTTTTTTAACAGGAGAGAAACATCCTACAGCTTTCAGCACAGGTAAACTTGCCACCGATTTCACTATCTGCCTGTTTTAATCAAGCATTGAAAATGAGAAATAGTCATAGGCAGCACTGAGAGGTGAGCATGTGAAGTGCAGCTCAACGTGGCAAAGCAGTTTTGGGTGGAGGAGACACACAGCACACCGGTTGAATATTTTCAACTCCTTTCTGAAGGTAATTCACTTAAAGGTAGGAGGTAATTTGTGCTGAGAGCTAAGGAAGGTACCCGTTTAGATAATAAACATCAACGAACCTCCCCAGTCCAGTACTGAATTCTGTAAAAGCTCTCATCCCAGGAGGCTTTGTTTGTTCCTCCACTAGAAGACCTTGTAGCTAATAATTTAAAATTTTGTAAATTTTACTTATATTTATAATACAAATATTATATTACACTTCTAATAACATAAAATATTATTCTATTTTTAATGATAATAACATATATAATTATGTGTACATATAGATAAGTAATTATAAAAATATGAAATAATATATTAAACAATTTTTTTACATTATGAAGATGGAGTATTCATTGCAATTTCTACCTCAATGTGACTTTCATTGTTGTTGCTGTTTCCTTTTATTCCCCAGGATGTACTTACCCAGGTCAGAAGAATTGTTACTGGAAAATGTGTAATTAATAACAGGAGATTTCTCCAGCATTTCCCCAAAGTTGGACAGATTTCTCCCTGCAAATAGAAACACTTACGAATATCAGGAAGGCTTATTTCTAGTATGAGTCATCACTGAGAATAAATAGGGCAATATTTTGGGGTGGAACGGTTTTAACTTTTACCTGTCTGTCCTGTCATCACACAGATGTAGATACAATCTGAATCATTGCTCTGACGCACTGAAAGGAAAAAAAATGTGAAACAGATCACTGTTACCAGTTTTCATTATCTAATATTACCTTAAACAGTTGAACATCAACATGAAATGGCATGGGGCTACTGCAGCTGGCCGAATATTTTCCTTCTGATCTGATTTTTGACAAAAACCTCAAACCAGCATCAAATCCAAAGGCTAATATTTCCAGGGGAAATGTTTCTATCTAATTAAATTTCTAAATTACAAGTATTTTTACATGGAAAATAAATTCTTCAGATAATATAGCCAATAATTTTTCTTCGGGAATCATAATTCCCCAAAGTACCAGTATTTAATAATTCACCAAACTTTCAAACAAAACTTAGCTGCTTATAGAAACATGTATGTCTCTATATTATATATATACACATTGTATATGTATCTTGTTCCTCTAAGGAGATTTTGTTTACAACTGCAGTCCATGCTTTGCAAGAAGAGTGCTGCTGAGTAAGAGCAATAGGCTTTTATACATATTTCTATGCTTGCTTCCATGCCAGGAGTAAATCAGACAAATAAGACAAAGATAGATGTGAAAAGGAAGTGCAAACCTGAGAGAATAGAAGTGGATTTGAAAATTTCTGTGAGATAACTGGTGGAGTTTCCAATAATATCAACAAGTAAAGCTGTAAAATCTAGACAACAAAATAGAGAAAGTTTATGATTGAAAACACATATTGTATCATCTATGCTAAGTCAAAAAATCACTTTTATATGTGATAGTATTTTGGATATATGCTTGTATGTGACAGTATTTAAAATATTTAAAAGTGCAAAATGTTTCTGCTGGATGGGAGTGGACTTAAGAAGCCACTGGAATACTCTGCAGAAGTATTTTTCAAAGATGATATCCAAAATAGCACCAGCGTGCCTAAAAGTAAACTTAAATGGAATTTATCTGTTCAAGAGGACAATTTAAAGTAACACTCTATTTAGTCTGCTTAAATGTAAAGGAGATCCAAAGCCTGTAGGCTATACCTGCCCTAACTGCCTATCTGCCATGCAGGACCTTCCAGGAGGCATCAGATTGTCTCCTCTGAGGTCTGCTACAGACATACTGGCGATGTTGTTGTCAGCTCAAAAAAAAATGGCTAGTGGTGGTGTGGTGCTACGACTTTTTCATAACAGGTTCTAGCAGTAACAGGTCAATGTTCTCACTTTGGGAGTGACAGACATGAGCCCTCTGTTGGGCTCTGAATTTTTATGGCTTGGGAGGATGCTCTAATCACCAAGATATTCTGGATTTGGGGCAGAAAGATTAAAGTTTCTACATTATCCTCCGAAGCAGACTGCGTCATTAGGCAATAAGCCTTGTGAGACGTGTGGGTCCCAAAAAAGCCAGGAAAGCCATTGTGGCTCACGTGTGTGGTCATCACATGCAGCTTAGAGGGTATGGGTTCTGGTCCCTAGCTGATGAGCTACTCCTGATATCATACATTAACCAGCCATAGAATCCAGGTGCTCAGATCCATCCTGGAATGTTAAATACTGTAAGATCAGGGGTGTGAATGAGGATTATAGGTGAAGGATTTGCCCAATAGCATTTTATACTTCATTAAACAGCTCTATGAAAATGTTAATCCTTGCTTTTCACTCCTGTCGGGCTCATTGAAGTTACTGGGGTCTATTGGTGCAGAGAAGCCCTTGTTCATCTCCTGGGTTATGTCAGGAGAGCGAAAGTGGCTAAAGTACTGTATATCATATATTGCCAGGTTGTCTTTCCTACCGAGCTGCTCTTTGTATTCCGAGGAGGAAAGGGAGGTCTTTCCATTGGGTAAACCATGCCGGTCACTTGACTGATGGCCCCATCCCAGACTGGGTGGCTGGGTGCAGCCATGTGAGACTGAGTTCATCGAGTCTCCCCCGAGGTTCAGAGCAGCCACTCGTGAGTTATGGCTGTTGACCTCAGTATGGTGATACCACTCGTAAGGATGAAGCCTGCAGAATTCAGGCTACAGCTTTCCTCTCCGAAGGAAATAATTCGGCTTAAGCACATGCAATTGTCACCCTCTCTTGTGTACCCACCTGTCAAGTCATTTGTCACATTGTTCAAACAGTAGCAGTAATGCATAGGGAACTTGCCAGGGTCAACATTTTTCACGTTAGAAACTGTAGGGAGAGACAGAGAAAAAAAAATCAGTATCTTGATGCACAGGTTGTGTGAGACAAAACGCTCCTGCGTGGAGAAAAGCACCGAGGCACTCACTGTTATAAATGGTGACTGACACCTTGTGGAAGGCAAATGAGCTGTAAGATGTGATGCTCAGCAAAGAGAAGAGTTTTTTGGTACCTGCGGAAACACATGCCCATGCTATTAGTGGTTGGAACAAATCATGAGAACAGCAAGTTTTGACTCTGTTCATTTAATTTCTAAAAGACTCCTGAGGTGCTAATACTACACAGCTGCATGAGACTCAATTCTTTCTCATTTCCACTGAGGGAAGGATCATTCGTATTACTTTTTCTTTTTTTTAATTCAGACCTACACTGATTACAAAGTGCTTTCTAAAGGCATCCCGTAAGTAATTATTTGTGTCTATATACAAACACACACCAATTCCTAAATTCTTTGGGGCAGAGAGCTATCTGCATTATAAATGCACAAGGGGAACATGCTCCTAGAATCAATTCTGGAGGCAGCTGGCATGCCTTTACAGCTTGTCCTGCTAAGGCCATTAGTCCTTTTTCTCATTCACTGCCGGGCTGACAGCCTGCGTGTCCTGCCCAGCCTTGTCACATTACCTCTGAGCGTTGCGTTCAGCATACCATTCACCAGCTCTGTCAGGTTAATAGCAGCCAGATCCACGGACTTTGCAGGCAGCTCTGAAAAAGAAGGGGTCTCTGAGCAGCCGACTGCAGGGGGGCGCAAGGAAATGGTCGTTAATCCCCTGCTTATACAAGGCAAAAATCTTCCAGAACGGGAAAAGCAAAATGAGCAGATTATGTGTCGGACTGCACTGAAAACCCTGTGGTGAGAAAAATAAAGATGCCAGGAGTGCAGAGAGGAGTCTGGAAAACAGCAAGCTAAAGCGGGCAGTGCAATGGTAGGCCAGACCCAAGGTCTGGCTCTATGGCACCTACTGCCTTGAGCTCGCCCTTGAGCTGGCTGCCAGGGAGCCCAACCAGTCCTGACATTTTGGTGCCCCCTCGTGCTGGGCAATGGGTATTTACTGCCAAAATACTAGCAGATCTCTCTTTCCAGATCACACACAGAGGAGAAAGTACCTAGGAAATATTCCCCCTTCCCCAATACTACATGGAACTGGGATGAAAACACAGATATTTTTTTTTTCAGCTACCTTGATCGCTTTGCTGCTGCGACAGAATAAATTAGCTGTAGCTGAATCACACTTTTATTTTAACGTGTTTTCTTTCTGTTGACGTTGTTTATTTGTTTTTCCCAAGTCAAAATTTCCAAAGATGTTCTTTTGCTTCCCTCCCACAAGGCCATGCAGGAACAGAGCAGTATGGTATCTGTGTGTGCATGACAGAGAGACAAAAAACAGAGCAGGATGGAAAAAGAAGCATAGAAAGCTGAGATGAGAACAAAATCGAATTTGGGGAGAAATGCAATTTTCTGATGACATCAGTATTATTTTTAACCAATTTGAAACCAAGCTGTACCCCAGGGCTGGCAGCAGGGCTCGTCCACAGTGTAGAAGAGAGAGAGGAAAGGGAAAACAAAAGGAAATTAAGAGCTGGGAAGGGAGGAAAGGATAAAGAGAAAACAACACTTTAGATTTGTGGAAGGACAGAGGTTAAACTGGCCAGGGAGCTGGGTAAGCCCTGGGTTGGGTGAGGAGCCCTTGCAGCAGTGGTGGGTTGGACCTCACAGAGCTGCAAGAGAAGGGCCCATCTGCTGACACCTCCATCCATGCCCAGCACAATACCTCCCATTCCCATTAACACCCCCCCCCCCCCAAGGTCTCCTGACATGCTGCTTGTTACCTGCGGCAGCCAGCAGTGCCACTTGCTTCTCTTTCTTATTTTCTCTTCTTATGCATGAAGCTGTGAAGGGAAGAAAGAGACTAAGAAACAGTTTTCCCTGTTGAGATTACCAAGCAACCCTCTGTTGAATTCTCTGCCTGGTTTACTTTGCTGCTCTTATTCATTATAGCTCACAAACTGGTGAACATCAGCACTGCAAAGCAGGGCACTGAGTATCCACAATAGCAGCTCATCAAGTGTCTAAGAATAAGGATGTCCTAAAGGACTCACCAGGTCCTTTAGCTGCCAGCTAAAGAAAGAAAACAGATTAAATATCTGAGCTTGCCCCCTTTACTCAAGAATCAAAAGAAAAAAAGTAGTAGCAAACTGTTGCAGAGATCTGCGCTAGGCTTGCACACAACACTGACTGCAAGGTACCTGGTACAATGAGGCCAAATCTAAACAAATCTTCACAGGCTGCATGCACATTTGTTACTCAGAGCAGTCCTTTGAGGACTGTTCTCAAGATCTGTGTTGCAGAAGGGATGAACTGGAGCTGGGCTCGGGAGGTTGGACTTGTTTCCTGGGTTTCCCTTGGTGACCAGCAAGGGCGAGGTGCAGAGTCATGATTTAGACATCACGGGACAAGCTGAATTGTAAGAGTTTGGCACTTAGGTTCCCTATCCCATCAGTGGAGAGCTGAGTGCCTCCAAAGAGTAATCCAGAAGGCTCCCCAAATGGGGCAGTGCTAACAAATGCTAAACTCTCATGCCACTCTGAAGCTTCAGTTTCTCGATCCATACAAGCTGCCCAGAGAGAAGTCCTCTCCTGGGAGCTGGTGATGAGGAGGGCTCACCTCAGTGGTGGTGACGCCCTGCTCTGCGTTAAAACCTGATGGGCAGAGCTCTCACCAGGGATTAGGAAACCTGGGTTCAGCTTCCTCTTCAGTAAGATGAAATCTGTAGGACTGGAAGCAGCAGAAGGAAGGGAGATGTGACTGCATAGGCTGGCTGTTTGTACCTAAATTGGTGAAACCTGGGTGCTTGTCCTTATTCATACAAAAATCTATGCCTTGTACAGAAGACAATCCCTGGATACATTTCCCTTTCTCCTTCTCTCTTTATATATAAAGGAAAAATACCCTGTAGACAATCCCTGGTACAAGGCCTGCAAATTGTGACTCCTCATACAGTGCTAGTCAGCTGTATTAACAACTCTCACTTACTATGAGCTAAATTTGGACCGACAATCTAGGTGGCAGCAGATCTTCTAACCCTTCTCTCTCCATATAAAACTTTCTGACTCCAGATTCATGGCATGGGATCCAAGAATAGACCTTTGCCGTCATCTGCCCTGCCCTGCTGCATGGCACCAGCCCCAGAGCGCCAGCCCATCAGCCTTGCCTACGCAGGGTGAAAGAACCAAGCCTGCCACAGGTGTGGGAATGGGGCACTGGGAGCAACTGGGAAAGGGAAAGAGACACCTGGTTTATTCCCTGGGGAGCACCAAACCGCCGTCCTTACCTGTGTTGAAAACCAGAAAGAGACACAGAAATCCCAGGCTCATCTTCCCTGCCCCATGCCAGCAGAACCACTGCATTATGGACTCTGACTTCCAGCAAGTTTGGCTGCTCTAGGAGAAAGAAATACTATGTTGGTGGTGTTAAAGTTTGCAATATTGTACAATTTTGTCCAACCCTTGTCCCAGAATGATGTGACCATGAGAGAAATATTAGCTCTCTAGGAGGTAAAGAAAAGACTGGCGGTGTAAATGGCAAAGAATCCAAAATCACACAATCAGTATTTTCTGTGTATGTGTGGGTGTCATGAGCTTAGTATGTAACTCTTGATTATTGAGTCCTATGTCACTGTGGCGTTGGTGGGACTTGGTATGGTCATCTACACAGGCTGCTTCTCCAGCGAGATGACCTGTGCCCAAAGCACACTGACATGTCAGATGCTTATATCCTTTCTATTGAAACAAGATAAAATTTACTTATGTTCGATTTCAGACCAGATAGCAGTTGAGCTCTTTTTCTGCAGAAATGTTGCTTGCCCAGTCATCCCTAGTCTTGTATTTCTATAGTTAATTATTGTCAGCAAGCTGTGTCCTGTACTGCCTTGCCTAGTTGCTTGGGAGAGATTAATGGTCATCTGCCTTTCAGACAATGAGCTGCATTCCAGATTTCAAGGATTTAATTAGAGGTGCTTAGGGAAAAAAAAAAGTTCTTGCTTCTTTACACATTCCTCCCTGTTTTTGTAATATTGGAACACACCAAATAGCTCTGTAGATGTCAGAAAATGAGGGGCCATAAGAAAATTAGCAAAAAAAAGTCCAATTTTTTTTTTATATCCTCTCAGAGTAGCTAATCTTATGAGTATGCAGCAAACCATTATCTTGAAGATAATACTGTTTGATTAACAAGCTATTATCATCGTGTAAAATCTTTCTCATATTTAATTCACTAGAGAATTAAAACACTCTGAAAGTAGCTGATTTGTACTTAGCAGTTCTAAAGAGACTCTTCCTCGGGATGATGAAACGAGACCAAGCATTTCTGTGTTTGAAATATCTGTGTTTGCTCATCTGATGAGTCAAAAGCATTTAAGTGCCAGCTCTGCTAATTCAAACAGAGATCTGGGAAGCTTTAGGTAGTTCATCCTATCTATTCAGTCCAACTGCCTAATCCTTTTTACTCGACCCTAAGCCTATACTCATCCACGGTTTCTGCACAGCATGTGCAGAAGAGTGGGGCTGAGGCAGAACGCAAGTCATGGCCGTATCTCACTCCCCAGACTTCATACTCTATCACCTGTCTGTGAGTTGGACTAATTATGCGTGGACAGAGTCCAGTGTCCCGTGGACCAGTCTGGCATCAAAAACCCTAAGCTTGGCTCTTCTTGCAACAGTATTTGGGATCTGACCAACAACTAGACTACAGACCATGAAAGTATTGCTGGCATGAGTCTCACAAGGCTTGAAACCCCATCAAGGCTATCCCTGCTTCCAGTATCTCGCGTTAAGAAGCTTACTGGGACTTGTAACAGCTTTTTCTGTGGTGTCTGTAGCTAGGGGAGACAGTAGCATGGTAGCTCAAGCCTGCTAACATGCTGATGTAATGGAAGCAGTGGTGATGTAGTCTGCGCTGCAGTAGGTGTAAAACTAATCCACGCTTATGGATTCTGCTCAATTTTTTTCCCCTCTTTAGTTTGACTGTATGAAATGGAGAGGGGTTAGTGAAAGATAGTCCTCAGTGATGCTGAATTTGAAGAACTGGTGCTTTGCAAGGGTGTGGGAAGGTGGCTGTTGGGGACCACAGGCTCTGGGGTCAGCTGGGGTTGTGGGATGGAGAGTTGGGCGATCACGTCAAGGGGAGGTTTGTAGCTACCTATGTTTTGGAGCAAAAGGGCTATAGTGGCTGGTGCATCTAGTGGTTAAGTGTCCTGTTAAGGGAGAACTGTTGGTTTCTGTGTTTGACTGAGGTCAGCAGTGGGGTGATTTGCTGTTTTATTAATGGAACTTCATGAATTTTTATTCCTGTACTATGAGAAGTGACTGTCTCCTTAGCTCTGGCCAGTGCTGTCCCCGTGTATGCCAGCCCAAGGGAAACCAACATGAAACATGGCCAAAAGCAGTGCTGCCACTGTACTGTCCCTGCGGCAAAAGGCTGGTCTTGGCTGGAGGATCTCTGCTGTCCAGATGGGCAAAAGAGTCCAAACATCTGCCCTTGATGAGTATTTTGGCTGTGTGGTGAGCGAGAGACTCAGACCTAGGAGGGGGAGGAGAGGGCATCCTCTGCCCCGCTTTCAGTCTGCCCCTACACATCAGTGGCCAGTGCTCGTGCCAGAGTGGGGAGACTTGATTTCCAGCACATGCTTTGAGGAATATGGGCTCTCCTGGGTCACCAGAGAATCATGGTTGGACTAACATAAAAATCCTTGGTAAGAGTATTTCACAGACTGATGAGCAAGCACAGCTGTTCTACAAAGGTTCACAAGTAGAAGGGTTGATAGACGGTGGATAATTTCTTATCAGGGATCTAACTTCATTACTGATTTATTTAAACTGGCCCAGAGCTGTTCATGGTGGCAGGATGGGGAAAATCATCTGACAGAGGACTCGGTGTAGCAGGCTAGGGCAGGGGCTAGAGACATCACGTTCTCAACAGATAGAGAAGAGGCAAGAAGATTGACACATGAAGGAACATTCCTACCAAAGCACCTTAGGAGAGAGAGGATTTAAAAAACAAAAACAAAACCCAAAATGTCAGCTTAAAAGCAAAAACAAAATTGAAAAAGAATGAGATACAAAGTTGTGCTTGGAAGCATTCCATGCACATTGAGAGACACTTTCTTGCTCACCTGAATTTGCAGCTCCCTGCTGTCCTCCTTGCTGAGCTGCTCCTCCGTGCTAACACACACAATTTTCTCCACATAGGATGCTGATTTGCAGCAGGAATTCAGAGCAGGCATTAGCGTGGCCATAATACCCACATTTAACTGAGGTGTGATTACACACTACAGACTGAATCAAGCAAAATATCTAACCTTTGGGACAACATGCAAACATAATCTGGAAGGATAGATGATAATAAGAAAATCCTGTTCTAGTTGTAGCAAAGAAATATTAAATAATGACAGTATAAAATTAATGGAAAATCCTCCATTCATGGGAGGGTTTGTTTTGCCTGAATGCCAGATTTAGCACTGTGGTGTCCTCTGGCCAGTACAGGATGCTTGAAAAGAAATTGCAGCGAATTCTCAGTACTAAGAACATCACTCTAGAAAGGACTGCCCTTACTCCTCAATTGGTAGAGACTGATTTAAATTTGAAGCTTTAGGTTTTAGCTGCTTTCCAAAATCTTTACCCAGCATTAACTCTCTGAACATTTATGCTGTCCAATTAAATTTCAAAGCCATCCGTGACAAATATTCCTAGAACTGCTGCCTGAAGTATCTTATCTCTCAGCAATGTGAATATTAGCAATATTAACTCTTATGATACACATCATGTTTCCTTTACTCTGGTTATCTGAGATCTAATTTTTATCTATCATCAGGGACAAGTCTTTATTACTTTGTAATTGTATCACTTTTGTTTGCCAGCATAAGTGTCACTGCTGTGATGACTGAAACACATGTCCAGATTGCAAATATGAAACCCTCATTGTACTCCAGCTCAAAATCACTAATAATTTCCATTTCAAAACACAGTGTGATTCACAGGCACTAAAGGCACAGGTGCCACACAACCATCCCATAAACTGACTCTCTTTTCTTTCCAAACATTTATCTGATACAGGCTGCAGGTCAAGCCTTTAGTTGCAAATTCTCCTTCACCTCTACTGGATATGATAATCCTTCTCTTGTGTTTATTTTAAGCTGAACGATATTAGTAGAATTCATTTTACTTAGAACGGTTGATCCAGAGTTCCCTGAACTGCTGAATTGGAGATTTTAATCCAGTTCACATTACCTTTCTATAGTCATGAAGACCTCTTATTAAATAACTCTTTGTTATTTTGGATTAACAGCAATTTAAACCAACGTGTTTATTAGCTGTGCTTCATTTGAACTAATTTTAATGTGGCAGGTAACTATGAAGTTTGAATTGCTTTCATTTTTCTTGTACAAAGAGAGTGCAATCAGATATAGAGTAGTTTTCCTGTGTCTTCATGCTAAACAGAGCAGAACAGAAGTTAAGAGACCAAAGAAATAAAAAGAGGAAAGTCTGTGAGTACTGATTTCCTTACCTTCATTCAGTTCCAACATCTAAAGGTCATGTCTCATTTTAAGCATGCCGTGATATGCCAGGTCTAAAGAAATATTGCATGTTGATATGAAAATATGCCCATGTTACAACTACACGCTTCATTAAACTGCTGCAACTACTTTTTAAGTTCAGATTTATTTGTATGAGTATTTAATACAATGTAATAAATATACATTTAATACGAATACATTTAATTTGCTACATTTCCACCAAGGATTAATAGCACAGTTGAAATGGTTTCTTCCAAGTACATGTGAAACCACTGAGATTTGGAATAGTTAATATCAGCTTACCTGATTTCTTCTGACAAAGATGATTATCTTCAGAGCCTATATATAACTGGAGGTTATTGTCAGGTCTTAATAATTACTTTGAGAAAGACTTTTAGTAGACAGGCTTGATAATATTGCTTTAAAATCCTATGAAAATTGTTATCCTAATCCCAGAAGGACTAACTAGAGGTAACACAATCATAAGCACACAAAGTGCCTGTTGAATCCTGCATGGAAAGGCTCTGTGGCAGGTCAGGTGAGGACTGGAAGCTCCTTTTGGCAGTAATGACTGGAACTGCAGAACAGAAAGAATTTTTTTCCCTTTTAAAGGGACAGCTCGTCTTACTGCAATTAGGCCAATGCCACTTTTGATGGCTAGAGGTAGGCCAGGGTAAGCCCCTTTGGTAAAGCTTTAACCATCCTTGGAGAAGCAATTTAAACAAGGGACACTTGAGATGATGGAGAAGAAACCTGAAGTGTATCTTAAATGTAGAAAATCAAAAGGAACGAAATGACAGATAAAACAGAAATTTGCCTGGCATTGTGGTTAAGTGGCAAGGAAGGAAGAGAGGTGTGGTCACAACAATGACGTAGGGCAATTTTGGTGATGAGTGATGTTTAGTATTACCCAAGAGACAATCACTATTGAAAGCAGTGGGTGAAATTTTGCTCCCATTTACTCCAGTGGACTGCAAGCGATTCCCCTGAAATCAGTGAGTTTAAATGTAGCACTGTTAAAAGCAGATAATCATCCATTCAGTAGTTTCATCACAAGCCACCAAACACCTCAACGTGAGAATTAATTCAAAACCTTGTAACAATTAGAGAGAGGCAACCTAAAAGTATTCACAGTCAGTCCATGGAATAAAAATTACTTGAAGGATCTGCACAAAACCTCAACAGAGAAATATTCTAACCCCTGTTAGACAGGGAGAGGATAAAGAGGAGGCAGCGGATGAGATGCACAAGACGGCTGCATACGCACTGTCTGTTGGGAATGGTCCCTAGCCTCTCCCCAGTTTCCAAACCCAGCTTGGGAAACATTGGAGCGCTCTGAGGTTGTCTTTTTAATGTCATGGTCTTACCAATACTATGGACATTTAGGCTGCAGGGCTCCCCACACTACTTAATTTCTTATTGTAGATATTGCCTGGGTAACCAGTGTGTCATCAGGCTTATTTCATTGTCACTTGTCTTTAATTGTATTGTCCCCGTCTTGCACTTCCACCAGTTAAGGCAAAGCAAGCTGTGATGTTACCCAAAGAAGGAAGAAACTTATTGCAACTGCTAGAACACTGCAACCTGCCAGCATGGCAGATATGAGAAAGTGACTTTTGCTGGTTTCAGGTTTCAGTCCTAGGTTTGGGGGGTCCTGGTTTCCCACAGAAAAGATGTTTATGGGATCATGTTATGCATGTGGTAGGGCTATGTCTCTTTCTGTCCTACAATCCTATCTTCACCAAGAACTTCAGAAGCTGGGAGGCAACTGCAGCCCCATTTAACAGAGCTATAGCTGGTAAATATGATGCTTATACATGTGCTTGCACACGCATGCACAGTCTTACCTGTTTTCTTTCACTCTGCCTTTCATGAATAAACATTATCCAGTGGGATGTCATTGCATGTAAAATCATCTAATTCTTTATGGAAGTTACTGGTGTGATAAAAGGAAAATTTTCATGACTCGTGACTAAATGCTGCAGCTTGAGGAATATGGAAACACCTTTTCTTTGACAAGTCTTACTGATTTAATTACCGGTTGCTCAATATCTCATCAAGAAGGCTGGGATGAAAGTCCTCTCTGTAACAGCTGACAAAACCAGGTATAGCCAGGAAAATGTGTGCGCTGGGATCGGTTCCAACCGTTTGATGTTTGGCTATGAGAATAATTTGACTTTCAGCAGGTTTTACCTCATGCTGCGTTTTACCCTGGGACTCTGTAATTTTAACTTTCCTCAGCTGCAGAGCAATGCTCAGGTGACCGGGGAGGGGGTTATTGTTCAGCCCCAACTTTGACTCCTGGGGACAATGCCGTGTTCTCACTCAGAGCATCACTCTGAGCAAGTCGCTTTCTCAGGAGTATAGTCTTTACATGCCTCCTTTTTCCAGCGTCTCTTTGTGTGACAGCACTGTGTCCATAACTAGCATCCCAAACCCCAGAACAAGAAAAGAAGTCATTTTTAGCATCTTCTTAGTAACACAGTATAGGCACATAATTCATATAAATTACTGAGTAATTACATTCATTTGCTGAGGGCTGCGCAGGGTAGGTCCCTGCTAATGCAATTTAAATAAACACATTCAAGCCAAACGCCTGTGATTTATCTGTAAGAGAGAGGACAGCGTGGCATGAAGTTCTGGGAAGGAGAGAGAAAAAAAATTCTGAATGTCAGTGCTTTACCTCTCTTGTGGGCTGAGAACACAGCGTGGAAGCGATGCGCTACTTCTTCCTTGTGGCTTTTTTTCTTAGACATTTTAAACACACGCTTCCACGTAGGGGGTGCAATATGTGTGAGTGACTGCAAGGGCTCCAGCGATATGTTCTTGTGACCTGAGCCAGAGTCAGCAACCAGCATCGCCTCCCACCTCCTCTGTCCCAGTCTGCCAGTGTCCTCAGGTGCTGCCCTGGCTGGGGTACAAACCATCTCTGCCCTAAAAGATGAGCTGCGGCACATGGAATACCGTAGAACCTCTTGCAAACCTTCCTCTTTTGTATGCCTAGTAGGAAAACACATATCCATCTGTGTCTCTCTCTCTCATCAGATGCTAACGTGCAATAGAGGATGAAGCACTGTTTTTTAAAAAAAGAACAAACAAGCAAACTTAATCTAAGCTTGCTCCAGATGATTGAAGTTTTATCTTCAGTTACACTTTATTATACTATGGTAAATGCTTCCAAGGAAGCACCTTTGAGTAACTGTTTAATAAACTTCAGAAAAGTATCAACTGTGTAAATTACACTTCTTTTCTGAAAAAGCCTGATTACACTTCAACACTTCTCCTTTAGTCCTCTGTCATTACAATTTTACAAGATATTTAGTTTATTTTATGAAGAAATGTACTAGCTCTGTAAAGTTTCTTTTCATCTGAATTTCGTTTCAGATGTTAGCAATATCCTTCTAATTATATTTTATTTATTTTTGCATGAATTTCATTAAGGGCAATTCTCTAAATGTAATAAAGTTTCTTTGTTACTCTTCTTTTAGAAGAATAAAACAAATTTCATCTCTTAAAAGGAGAATTATATATAGACTCATATAATCATTTAAGTTAGAAAAGACCTTTAAGATCATCAAGTCCAAGCATTAACCGAACACTGCCAAGTCCACCACTAAACCATGTCCCTAAGCACCACATCTACACGTCTTTTAAATACCTCCAGGGATGGTGACTCCACCACTTCCCTGGGCAGCCCGTTCCAATGCTTGACAACCCTTTCAGTGAAGAAATTTTTCCTCATATCCAACCTAAACCTCCCTTGCCGCAACTTGAGGCCATTTCCTCTCATCCTATCTCCAGCCACCTGACAGAAGAGACCAGCACCCACCTCACTACAACCTCTTTTCAGGTAGTTGTAGAGAGCGATAAGGTCTCCCCTCAGCCTCCTTTTCTCCAGACTAAACAGCCCCAGTTCCCTCAACCGCTCCTCTTAAGACTTGTGCTCCAGGCCCTTCACCAACTTGGTTGCCCTTCTCTGGACACGCTCCAGCACCTCCATGTCTTTCCTGCAGTGAGGGGCCCAAAACTGAACACAGGACTCGAGGTGCGGCCTCACCAGTGCCCAGTACAGGGGAACAATCACCTCCCTGCTCCTGCTGGCCACACTATTTCTGATACAGGCCAGGATGCCATTGGCCTTCTTGGCCACCTGGGCACACTACTGGCTCATATTCAGCTGGCTGTCGACCAGCACCCCCAGGTCTTTTTCCACCAGGCAGCTTCCCAGCCACTCTTCCCCAAGCCTGTAGCGCTGCATGGGGTTGTTGTGACCCAAGTGCAGGACCCGGCACTTGGCCTTGTTGAACCTCAGATATGTATTTCTATATATAAACATTTATTTATTCCCATTCATAAAACTTCTTTCCTGTTTCAGGAAATTTATTTAGAATTGCAAATGAATCCTGTCCTTTATAACATTTTTTCTTTAATCTTTCTTATTAATAATTTGCTAAGATTGGTACTAACACCACAAAACCTCCTGAAAAGAACGAGCACTAAAGGCTACAGCCATTCAGTTTGAGTTTCCAGTAAGAATGTTTTGTAAATTTATTTGTCTAAAGTAGCAAACACTTTTCTTTAAAGTGTCTGACATTGTAAAATTTTTGTGAATCCAAGCACATTCTTAAAGAAGGGAGGAAAAGGAGAGAGACAGGAAAAAAAAGAGGCATGGAAATTGTGAAAATATGTGGTGAGAACAGGCATGACATTATCACAGCTCCTGTGGAAAAGGACTATGAGATGCTTTTGCTATGTTCCTTGTCAGAAACTCACCTCAGCTGGAAAATTAGAAAGATGATGCTTCTCAGAAACACTTTTTTTCTGTCAGCAGAACTTTGTTTCACTTGTTTAAATGGGCCAAGGTTTCTGCACCAGGAACATGCAAAATTTCTTCAGCTGAAGATTGCCATTGCTTGCCCCAGGGAAGATGCATTAAGTGCTTAAGAACTGAGTAGCTGGGTGCTACTCCATTCCTCAGCAATGTCATTGGTGTGTCATGACAAGAAAAATTAAAGCAGAGGCAGATGAGCTGCCTGGGTTGGTAGAGTAAAACATATGTACTGAGATATACTCATTGGACAGTCTTGAAGAGAAGAAAGCCATTGCAATCATCTCTGCAGAGCTGTGCCACCAAACATTCATCCATTGTGTAACTATTTCTCCAGAAAAGCAGTGAGCACAACTGCTGTTGCATAGCTGTTTTCCTGTCTATAAAGCAAAACGGGAACTGCAGGGAATATATTGAATCTCAAAACCAGTTCAGTGGTGCACTCCTGATGGTTTTGCTTTCTTCTCTCTGTGTTGTATACGTCCCATGAGATTTTTACAGACCCGTGCAATAGCTTTCACTGCTCCTTTGGGGCTTCCAAAGATGATAGTTGGTGATCAAGCACTCTGCGTTTGTAAATCTAGAGACTCATAAAGCTTTGATTAGATACAGAGAAGTTGCAGCAGTCCAGAACTTACGTAGAAAATATTTAATGATTTATCCAGTGTTGTTATATCTGATATAATATGTGTCAGACACATAACTGGTCCCATCAAACGTGCCAAAACATTCATAGCACATTTTACATTTGCTTCTTTTTTCATGATCCCTGGTCTATATTCTGCCGACCACCTGCACATGACAGAAAGAAGCAGGACAGAAGCTGCGGTTCTGTCCCAAGCCCACTGGGCTACCAGCCATCAGGACCATATGCCTGAAAAAAATCATCTTAGAGGGCAATTTCTTTTAAGACAGTCTAGCTCCTGCTGCTCTGTGCCATGGGACTTGGCTTTCCTGATTCCTTCCCTTGTCTGTGATCCAAGAAGATGCTCCATGCTAATCAACAGACCATTTTATCTGGGCTAGTTTTCAAAACTCTGGGAAGTCTGGAAAATCAAAGCATCCTGAGAAGAAAGAGGATACACTGAGAAACTTCCACTCCTGACACTGTTGCTTATGCCATAATGGACGCATTGATATTTACCCTTTCTAAACTGTTAAGTCTTAGTCTTACTCTGCTCAGGCAGGGGACAATTACATATGACCTCAGCAGTCCCGTATAGACGTAAGCAGAGCCTGCAGGAGGGGAAAACTCCCTGGTTATAAGCAGGGCTTTGCCTGAGGAGAGGTATCACACCTTGTTCCTGTTTTAGAATCCATTTCTTAAAAGATCAGACCCAGCGCCTTACTGAAATCCAGTGATTTGGCATGTTTATATATTTGGGTGACAGCCAAGGGGAAACTTTAATGCAATATATTTCAGTTCAGGTGAACAAAAGCTGAGCGGTTCACCTATTGTGCCTGTGAAATACCCATTTAAATGTCATTGCTGTGGCTGTCTGCTTTTCTTTGCAAAAGAATACTGCTGCACAGTTGCTGTTCAGTTCAAACTGGGACATTCACTGCTAAGTAAGTAATGATAATGTGTGGTAATATTGCCTATAAAAGGATGTGAATACATTTGAAGTATCTTTGTGCTTGCCTTGAAAGAAATGTAGGGAATAAAGAAAACGTTAGTCTGGTACAGAGTCTTTAGAGCTGTGTGGAAAACTTAACCAAGAAATACAGAATTCCCCACTCTGGTGCATTAGGTGAAAAAAATACTGTCGATCTTTGGAAAAAATGATGGAACTTGGCTGTAAGAGCTTGGCACTGATCCTATTTAAATTGATAGATTAAAAAAAAAAAAAAAAAAAGCAGCACCCCCCCCCCCCCAAAACCAAAACCACAAACAAAAAACCAAAACCGCCACAGCTGGATGTTGTAGTACTACAGGATTTTTTTAATTATTCCCAATTTACAGGGATATAGAAGTGGGATAAGAAACTGGAATAACTGCTGAATAATTTTTTACCTACCACAGAAATTTACGAAACCTTTTTTTAGGTTGCATTTCAAGTGTTAAGCAGAGCTCGTTCATTGGTGACAATCATGTTGCTGAAGCCACAGGGAATGCCTTAAAAATATCTCACTGGGTCCAGCGATATTTTTGGGGAAGAGGTGACGTTTCACGTGCTCTCTGCGTGTCTCATTCAGGACAATTACCCTTCAGCCTTCCTTCCAAACTGATATGATGGGATTCATCTCATCCTGTTTAGCAATCTGAAAGGTATGTTTTTGTCCAGGCTGGTCATCTTCAACTCCGTAGTTAAGAAAGACGCCAGTTAGAGACAGGCATCATCGGAGCAGGCAGTCTGAGTCATTTGATATAGGACTGATGGGACCCTGCTCTGAAAAGTGCTGATTTTCCTCCACTCATTGCAAAAGCGGTCTAACAAGAACAGAAACCTGTATCTTCATCTTGGTACTGAACTGTTACATGATTGTTGTCACTGAGAGAAATCAAACCCGCTCAGCCAGACAGGCTGTACAATGTCCCTCTCCTTCCACACACACCAATCCTCCTGCAGTACTCTGAGCCAAGCAAATTTAGTTGTGCATGCACACTCCGTGCCTTTTCCAAGGAAACACGGCAACTTCCAAACCAGCAGCTAGGAGAAAAAAAAAATACTTACTATTTATTTATATATATTTTTTTTAATACTATTAAAATGTTATCCTCAGCCAAAACTCCAAACAGAACCAGTTGTAGAAAAGATGTTTGAGAAGAATTTTCCTCAGTAACACCCTCCTATTTGTGTAAGAGGGCAAGACATTTTAAATAGTCCATACTGTCCCACAGTATTGCTGGGAGGCGCGTGAGCAGCCTTCTGGTGGTTTTACGCATCAGGAAGACGGACAGACAGCTGAAGATGGGAGGCCAAGACCACACAGAAAAGCAGCAACAAAACCAGGGACAGAATTCAGGCAACTGAACTTCTTGGCAGGTGTTAAATTCCCTTTAGAGGATATTCAGAGCAGCCTTGTGCC